GAGATTCCTTAAAAAACTGGGAATAGAACTCCCATATGACACAGCAATCCCACTGCTGGGCATACACACTGAGGAAACCAGAACTGAAAGAGACAAGTGTACCCCAATATTCATTGCAGCACTGTTTACAATAGCTAGGACATGCAAGCCACCTAGATATCCATTGGCAGACAAATGGATAAGAAAGCTGTGGTACATATACACAATGGAATATTACTCAGCTATTAAAAAGAATGCATTTAAAAATAAACAAATGGGACCTAATGAAACTTAAAAGCTTTTGCACAACAAAGGAAACTATAAGCAAGGTGAAAAGACAGCCCTCAGATTGGGAGAAAATAATAGCAAACGAAGCAACAGACAAAGGATTAATCTCAAAAATATACAAGCAACTCCTCCAGCTCAACTCCAGAAAAATAAATGACCCAATCAAAAAATGGGCCAAAGAACTGAACAGACATTTCTCCAAGGAAGACATACAGATGGCTAACAAACACATGAAAAGATGCTCAACATCACTCATTATCAGAGAAATGCAAATCAAAACCACAATGAGGTACCATTACACACCAGTCAGGATGGCTGCTATCCAAAAGTCTACAAGCAATAAATGCTGGAGAGGGTGTGGAGAAAAGGGAACCCTCTTACACTGTTGGTGGGAATGCAAATTAGTACAGCCACTATGGAAAACAGTGTGGAGATTTCTTAAAAAGCTGGAAATAGAACTGCCATATGACCCAGCAATCCCACTTCTGGGCATACACACCGAGGAAACCAGATCTGAAAGAGACACGTGCACCCCAATGTTCATCGCGGCACTGTTTATAATAGCCAGGACATGGAAGCAACCTAGATGCCCATCAGCAGACGAATGGATGAGGAAGCTGTGGTACATATACACCATGGAATATTACTCAGCCATTAAAAAGAATTCATTTGAATCAGTTCTAATGAGATGGATGAAACTGGGGCCCATTATACAGAGCGAAGTAAGCCAGAAAGATAAAGACCATTACAGTATACTAACACATATATATGGAATTTAGAAAGATGGTAACGATAACCCTATATGCAAAACAGAAAAAGAGACTCCGATGTATAGAACAGACTTGTGGACTCTGGGAGAAGGCGAGGGTGGGATGTTTCAAGAGAACAGCATTGAAACACGTATATTATCTAGGGTGAAACAGTTCACCAGCCCAGGTTGGGTGCATGAGACAAGTGCTCGTGCCTGGTGCACTGGGAAGACCCAGAGGGATTGGGTGGAGAGGGAGGTGGGAGGGGGGACCGGGATGGGGAATACATGTAAAAAAAAAAAAAAAAGATACACTATGGTTGTGATAAAAAAAATTAATTAATTAATTAATTAATTTAAAAAAAACATAGTTGATAATGATATCCTAATAAAAATAATACCTTAGGATTTAAAAAAAAAAAGAATGCATTTAAATCAGTTCTAATGAGGTGGATGAAACTGGAGCCTATTATACAGAGTGAAGTAAGTCAGAAAGAAAAACACCAATACAGTATATTAGTGCATATATATGGAGTTAAGAAAGATGGTATATGCCATATGACCCAGCAACCCCACGCCTGGGCATACACACCAAGGAAACCAGATCTGAAAGAGACACGTGCACCCCAATGTTCATCGCAGCACTGTTTATAATTGCCAGGACATGGAAGCAACCTAGATGCCCATCAACAGACGAATGGATAAGGAAGCTATGGTACATATACACAATGGAATATTACTCAGCCATTAAAAAGAATTCATTTGAATCATTTCTAATGAGGTGGATGAAACTGGAGCCCATTATACAGAGTGAAGTAAGCCAGAAAGATAAAGACCTATACAGTATACTAACGCATATATATGGGACTTAATAATATGGTAACAATAACCCTATATGCAAAACAGAAAAAGAGACACAGACATACAGAACAGACTTTTGGACTCTGTGGGAGAAGGCGAGGGTGGGATGTTCTGAGAGAATAGCATTGAAACAAGTATACTATCAAGGGTGAAACAGATCACCAGCCCAGGTTGGATACATGAGACAAGTGCTCAGGGCTGGTGCACTGGGAAGACCCAGAGGGATGGGATGGGGAGGGAGGTGGGAGGAGGGATCGGGATGGGGATCACATGTAAATCCATGGCTGATTCATGTCAATGTATGGCAAAAACCACTACAATATTGTAAAGTAATTAGCCTCCAACTAATAAAAATAAATGGATAAAAAAAAAGAGAGATGGTAACCATGACCCTATGTGCGAGACAGCAAAAGAAACACAGATATAAAGAACAGACTTTTGGACTCTGTGGGAGAAGGCGAGGGTGGGATGATTTGAGAGAATAGCCTTGAAACATGTATATTACCATATGTGAAATAGATCGCCAGTCCAGGTTCAATGCATGAGACAGGATGCTCAAGGCCAGCAAACTGGGACCACCCTGAGGGGAGGGATAGGGAGGGAGGTGGGAGGTTCAGGATGGGGGATACATGTACACCCATGGCTGATTCTTGTCAATATATGGCAAAAATCACTACAATGTTGCAAAGTAATTAGCCTCCAATTAAAACAAATAAATTTAAAAAAGTAAAAACAGAACTACCACATGACCCAGCCATCCCACTACTGAGCATATACCCAGAAAAAAACAGAATTCAAAAATATATATGCACTCCAGTGTTCACAGCAGCACTTTTTATATCCAAGACAGGGAAGCAATCTAAGTGTCCATCAATAGATAAATGGATTTAAAAAGATGTGGTATATATATACAGTGAAATATCAGCCATAAAAGAGAAAAAACAACTATGCTATTTGCAGCAATATGGATGGATATAAAGACTGTGATACTGAGTGAAGTCAGTCAGGGAAAGACAAATATCATATGATATTGCTTATACATGAAATCTAAAAAATGGTAGAAATGAACTTATTTACAAAACAGAATTAGAGTCAGAGATGTAGAAAACAAACTTATGATAACCAGGGAGACAGCAGGGGGTGGGTGGGGACAAATTGGGAGATTGGGATTGACATATACACTCTACTATATATAAAATAGATAACTAATAAGCACCTACTGTATAGCACAGGGAACACTACTCAGTACTCTGTAATGGCCTATATGGAAAAGAATCTAAAAAAGAGTGGATATATGTATAAGTGAATCATTTTGTTGTACACCTGAAACTAACACAGAATTGTAAATCAACTATTGTTGTTCAGTCGCCTGGTTGTGTTCGACTCTTTGCGACCCCATAGACTTCAGCACCCCAGGTCTCTCTATCCCTCACCATCTCCTGGAGTTTGCCAAAGTTCATTTCTGATGCTGTCCAGCCATCTCATCCTCTGACGCCCTCTTCTCCTTCTGCCCTCAATCTTTCCCAGCATCAGGGACTTTTCCAATGAGTCGTCTGTTCGCAACAGATGACCAAAATACTGGAGCTTCAGCTTCAGCATCTGTCCTTCCAGTGAATATTCAGGGTTTTCCTTTAGGATTGACTTGTTTCATCTCCTTTCTGTCCAAGGCACTTTCAGGAGTCTTCTCTAGCACCACTGCTCGAAGGCATCAATTCTTTGGCACTCAGCTTTCTTAACTGTCTAGCTCTCACAACCATACGTGACCACTGGGAAGACCTTAGCCTTGACTATAGGGACCTTTGTCGGCAGAGTAATATCTCTGATTTCAACAGCCTGTCTAGGTTTGTCATCCTTTTCTTGCCAATCATCTTCTTATTTCATGGCTGCAGTCACCATCTGTGGTGATTTTGAAGCCCAAGAAGAGGAAATCTGCAACTACTTGTACCTTTCCCCCTTCTATTTGCCATGCAGTAATGGGGCTGGATCATGATTTTTTTTAATATTTAATCTTAAGCCAGATTTTTCATTCTCCTCCTTCACCCTCATCAAGAGGCTCTTTAGTTCCTTTTTGCTTTCTGCCGTTAAGAGTGGTATCATCTGCGTATCTGAGGTTGTTGTTTCTCCCGCCTATCTTGATTTTGGCTTGTAACTCATCCAGCTTGGCATTTCATGATGTGCTCACCATATAGATCAAACAGACAGCATTTAGATTAAGCAGACAGCCCTGTAGTTTTCCTTTCTCAATCTTGAACCAATCAGTTGTTCCATATAGGGTTCTAACTGTTGCTTTTTGACCTGCATACAGGTTTCTCAGGAGACAAGTAAGATGGTCTGGTATACCCATCTCTCTAAAAGCTTCCCACAGTTTGTCATGATCCACATAGTCAAAGGCCTTAGCACAGTCGATGAAAGAGAGGTAAATGTTTTTCTGAAACTACCTTGCTTTCTCTATGATCCAGCAAATGTTGACAATTTGACCTCTAGTTCCTCTTCCTTTTCTAAAATGGACTTCTCTGGTGGCTCAGACGGTAAAGCATCTGCCTACAATGCAGGAGATCCGGGTTTGATCCCTGGGTCAGGAAGATCCTCTGGAGAAGGAAATGGAAACCCACTCCAGTACTCTTGCCTGGAAAATCCCATGGATGGAGGAGTGTGATAGGCTACAGTCCATGGGGTCACAAAGAGTTGGACATGACTGAGAGACTTCACTTTCACTTTACTTTCACTTTCTTTCTTGTGGACATCTGGAAGTTCTTGGTTGGCATAATGCTGAAGCCTAGCATGCAAGATTTTAAGCATGACCTTACTAGCATGGGACATGATTTGGCCGCTTTCATGCATCATAGCCTTGTTGTGGCAAAGGGGCTTGCATAATTCAATGAAGCTATGAGCCATGACGTACAGAGCCACCCAAGACAGATGGGTCGTAGCAGAAGAGTTCTGACAAAACGTGATCCACTGGAGGAGGGAATGGCAAACCACCCCAGTATATTTGCTGTGAGAACCTCATGAACTGTTAAAAAAAAAAAAAAGGCCAAATCAACGATACTGCAATATAAATTTTAAAAAAACATGTCATTTGCAAATATTTTCTCCCATTCAGTAGGTGACCTTTTTGTTTTTATCAATAGTTTCCTTCACTGTGGAAAACTTCCTGTTTGAATAGGTCCCATTTGTGTATTTCTGCTTGTATTTCTGTTTCCTGGGATGTCCCATGCAACCTGTTCTGTTCAGGGTGCCTTGTGGCATTGAGTGCTTGGTGGTTTAACTTTATACTGTTCACTGCCCTTAAGAAGTTGTTTTGTGGGGATTCTTTGGCACCTCCTTTTGCTAGACATTTAATGGTACTATTATGGGATGGATTGTGCTGCAGACTTAATGTTTGTGTCCTCTCAAAATTCATGTGTTGAAATCCTGACCTGAAAAATGATGGAGTTTGGAGGTGGGGCCTTTGAGAGATGATCTGGGTCATGAGAGTAGAGCCCTCATGAATGGGATTAGTGCCCTGACAAAAGAGACCCCAAAGAGCTCGCTCACCCATTCTGCCATGTGAGGACACAAGAAGGTGGCTGTTTATGAAGCACAAGTAGGCCATCTCCAGACACAAGTTCTGTTGGTATCATGACCTTGGACTTCCAGCCTGTCTGTAGTAGACTGTGCTAGTCTGTGATAGCAGCCCAACCTGACTAGCCAAAGTGTCCCCCAAAAGATGTTTAAGACCTAAGCTCCACTGCCTGTAAATGTGACCGTATTTGGAAATGGGGTCTCTTTAGATGTAATCAAGTTAAGATGTAGTCATACAGGCTTGGGGTGGCCCTAAGCCAATGATTGGTACCCTTATAAGGAAAGAAAATGAGACATAGAGACACACAGGGAGAAGGCCATATAAAAACTAGGCAGAGACTGAAGTGACACATCTAAGAATCAAAGAACACCAAGGACCACAGACCACCAATGTGAGGCTGGGAGCAAGGTGTGGAACAGGACTGCCCTCAGAGTCTGAAGCACGAGGTGCCCCTGCTCCCAACTGGATTTCAGAAAGAGAATAAATCTTTGTTAAGCCATCCAGTCTGTGGTCATGGGTTACAGCAGCCCTGAGAAAGTCACATGGGTGCCATCAGCCCAGGAACTCTTGGAACCAAATTTAGGCCTTGAAGTCCCTAAAGCACCCCAGCTATTCAAACCCAGACAGCACAGAGCCAGGCCCACAGCCCCAAATTCATGCTTTGCTCTCCTGTGTCTGTGAGCACCTCATCAACACTCCCTGCAGCCCCAGCACCGGGGTGAGTTGGGTTGACTTTCGGCCTCCCTTGTGTTCAGTTCCAGAACCAACATCCTTGGGGCACAGTAGCCTCAGTGGTCTCCTTCTCAGACTCCCATTTCCTCTCAGCTTTCACTCTCTTGTTGGTTCTCAACTGCTTTAACAGATTTGAAGAATACTTCATCTGTCATCTGTAGTTATTTTCAGCAGAAAAATCTTACTACTACTGCCCATGGTTAGAGAAGCCCAGGCTTGTTCTGTCACACTCCTGGATGCTGACAGAATCCTCATTCTGGTACCGCAGACATCTACGTGAGTCTGAGAGATCAATCCCCACCTTGCCCCAGACCCACAACGCTCAGACACAATGGAACCCGCAGAATTCACAGAACAGCCCCATCCCTGGGTCTCCCCGCTTCCAGACGTCCAGTCCTACCACACGCCCTGTGCTCTGCTCCACCCAGGATGCGGTAGTATCAGCTGTACCTGCACCCCGCCCCTGACACACACACCCCTGTCTGTGGGGGGTTCTCCTCTAAGGAAAGGACAGACCGGGGGCACCTGCATTGAGAGACCAAGGCAGACAGTCTCCTGTTCTCTTCTGACTTGCGGTGAGTGCACACGGGGCTTCTCAGCAAGCTCATTGCCTATCCTCGTGCTGGTCCAGGGGTTCCGCCCTCTAGTGGACAGAGATGTAAAACAAATCAGATATGATTGGAGACTCCTACATGGCAATGGATTTAGGATGGAGACTTTAAATGAAGATGATGTTTCAACTCCAAGCTGAACAACAGAAAGAAACCAGTCACGCAAAGATTTGGGAAAGGGCATTCCCTGCCATACGTAGGGCTGGGGAGGAGGGGGGCAACAGGGGCAAAAGCCTAAAGATACAGTCAAGGAAGGGGAAAAGGGTGACATTGACTCTTGGTAAGAACATGCCATTCAACCTCTGGCACTCAGGGATGGCCAACTGTGGCTGACTTCTTGCAGCCTAAGGTCGGGACCCTGGGCTGATCCAGCTCCCTTTTGAGTCTCTGTCTGAGAAAACAGGGCTGGCAAGAGAATGTAGTTTGTTCCAGCTAACATTTGACTGAACAACCCCCCTTTCTCCGAGTCTTTCCTAAGAAGGCTCCCCACATGTGAACCCCTACTCTGTCCCTTTGAGATGTCCATGTACCTCCAACAACTCAGGAGAGGCCTTCTCGGGGACCTGAGAGCCATTCCTTTGAAATGGAATCCTCAGGAAGGACAGGGCCTGAGTCTCCCCATCTCTGAGTAGGATGGAATCATAACATCCAAGAACTGACCCCGGGGACAAATGCTGCTGGCCTCACCACATTGACCCTGACCAACCCGCCGTGAGTTTTCACTCGAGACCCTGCTCACTGACCCCACCTCACTCTTCCTTCAAATCACTGGGACCCCTGTGCCTATCAGAAGGGTGCCCGGCGCTTTCACCTGCTGACAGTGGTTACCAAATAAAACTGGTTCCTACCCCTTTACCTGAAGGCCGGCTGAGCTGCTCCTCGACTGCATATCCTAATGCTGCTGACACAAGACAGACGAGGACTGGGAGGGCAGAGATGTGGAGTTAGTATCTATTGGGGACCAGGTTTCCATTAGGGAAGATGAAGTGTTTCTGGGAATGGATGGTGGGGTGGTTGCCCAACCATGTGAATATGCTTCTTGCCACTGAACTGTGCACTTAAAATGGTTAAAATGGTAAATCTTATGTGTATTTTACTAAAAAAAAAAAAAACACCTGCACCATGAAGTGTTTGGGGAACACCTTTGAAAATAAACTTTTAACAATCAGCTTTTAAAAACATAATTTGCAGCTTGGAATTACATGCTTTTAGGTTTAAAGAGTGAGTCACATTATCTTTGAAGTTGTAGGAATTAATGAGCTGTTAGCAGTCAGTATGTGTGTGTGTGTGTGTGTGTGTGTGTGTGTATCTGTGTTTTGTTGTGAGCACCCAATGCAGTCCCTGGGGATGTGCTCAGAGAAGTGCAACTGTTAGGAAGTCAGTGCTCACCAATGACGGGGTAACACAAGCACAAAAGCCAAGGGTGGCCACCCCTGTGGTTAGCAGAGCAGTTAATGCAACTGAGAACATGGCACCTCTGCCATAGAGCACTGTTTATAATGCTTGTGGCAGCCCCACACCACCACTAGACTCTTAGGAAATCACTTTTGCTTCTCACCCTATGTTCAGTTGGTTGCACTTAACTGCTCTCAGAGTCAGCAGGGAAGGTCACAGCACAGGTCAGTGTGTGATCAGCACATTTTCTCATCCCATTTCTGAGTGCCCACACAATGGTAACCTCGATGGGGCTAAAGAAGTCTTTGCAAAGAAATGAAGAAATGCAACGAAGGCTCATGATGGTTCGCCACAAGCAAAACAAATGCAGATGGACTGCAACTGAGTCCCATCGGCTGCAGCAGGGCCACCTAGCCCACCTCATGGATGCAGTGGCAATGTGCTCCAAATTGTACCCACGTGGATTTGGGGGGCCGCCCCCCCACACACAGTGTAGTGTGCAGTTTGACCCTAGGTTGAGATGTCTGCCTTGGAGTCTTGTGGTTTCTATCTTGACTCCAGTTCTAGCGGCCCCCTTGCCATAGCTTCACCACCATGAAGGAGACACTCGGCTACGTCAGGGCAGAGGTTGCAGAAACCATGAAGCAGCCACACTGCACACCACCCGCCTGCAAAACACGGCTGCTGCAGTCCTATTTCCTTTTCTCTGATTCTCCATCCACCCCAGGGGAACAGCATGCAAACAACAGTCTGCTCTCAGCAGCGACTGAAATGGAAGTCAAACCTTGGATGGTCTCATTTTATGGATGAGCCTGAGACTCAGAAAGGTAGTCATCAGTGCAAGCCTCACACCGCAGACGGGCCTAGGGAACACACTGCCGGGCTCCAGCTCCTCTCCAAGGAGCCACTGCTGCTCTCTGTGCCTCAGCAAAGCCCACCGAGGAACATGTCAGGCCTGGCCCTTCCAATGATGTCTTTTTGTGGCCAAGGAAGCCACTCAGCCCTGACCCCTTTCTGACCCATCAGCGGGTAGGGGACCACGGAAGGCCTCCAATTCACTACGGAGGTGGAGCAGCAGCTGTTTTCTAACAGCAGACTCCTATATGCTGTCACCTAAATGCTCTCTTCGGCCTCCTATCAAATAGAGCTAGGGACTTCTCTGGTGGTCCGGTGGGTAAGAATCCGCCTGCCAGTGTGCGGAGCCCTGGGCCGGGAAGACCCCACATGCCAATGAGCAACTACTGAGCCTGCACACCTACAGCCCAAGCTCTGCAACAAGAGAAGACACTGCAGGGAGAAGCCAGCGCACAGCAACTAGAAAAAGCCCTCGGAACAACAAAGACCCAGCAGAGCCGAAAAGAAAGAAGAAAGACGTTTTTGAAAAAAAAGACAGCTAGGCATCCCACATTATGGGTGGAAATGTGTTCCCTCCAAGGCACCGGGCAGTCCTCACCCGCTGGCCCTGAGGATGCCACCACATGTGGAGACTAGGTCTTCTCAGGGGTGATTGAGTTAAAGGGAGGTCACGAGGGTGGCCCTAATCCAATGGGACTGTGTCCTTATAAAAGTGGACACTTAGAGACTCAGACACGCATGGAGGGAAGACGACATGAAGACACAGGGCGCAGACGGCCTCTCCCATCCCAGGAGAGAGGCCTGGAACACACCCTCCCTCACTGCCATCAGGAGAAACTGACCATGCCCAGGCCTGGATCGTGGACTTCCGGCCTCCACGACTGGGAGACAATACGTTTCTGTTGTTTGCAGCACAACTCCCCCAAGTGTGCACACACAGCTTGGAAGCAAGGAGTCTGCCCTCGTACCATCTGCTGCCAGCCACTCGCAGGCAAACCCCTTGGCTGCACCCACCCCGGACCAAGTTCACAGGAACATACATTCTCTATCAAAGTAATACTTACAAATGAGGGGCATCTGGAAAATACATAAACATGTAAGGCAAACTTAATCACTGGTAATCCTACCACCACAGCTATCCAAATGGTAGCAGGGCACGCACAACAGCTCTCCCTCTTTTATTGGGGTCACACTTCATGCATCGCTGCATCTGATGGCTGCATCATCCATTTCATCTGGTGATCCAGAGTGGGTTCCAAGTGATGAGGTATCCACCACTCCAGAAGTGCTGCCTCCTACTCCACAGCCTTTGGTGGCTACAGATGCTGCTGCAGCCAGCACCCTGACAGTGCCGAAGTCTCCAGGTTAAGGAGGCTGGGACACTCCCTATGTGCTTGTCCATCCCACCCGACCAGCCCCATGGCAATGGGTCCCCACGCCTTGTCAACAGGGCACAAGAAGTCAGCATTTGTTGCCATTTTGAAATCACTTTTTGTCTAGTTTGAGTCTATGTTGTTCTAGTCATTCATGAGAAAGAAATGCTTTTGTATTGTGCTTATTTGATTGCTCTTAACGTGCATTTTCTTAACCAGGTAATGGAGCAGGGTGTGTGGAAGCAGTGGGCAATGCCCACATGGAGGTCCTATCTGTCCATCTCCACCACCCAAACCCACAGTCGTGAGGGTCCAGGGGCCACAGCTGACCCTGCAGGCAGGCTGCTTCCCTCACGGGAGGAATCCAGCCCCTTGTTTCAGAAGGCTGGTTGAAAACCCTCAGTCTCTCACATCCCGTCAGCCCCACAGGATGCAGGAGGCCGGGTGTGAGGGGTGCCCAGCCTGCAGGAAGAGAAGGTTCCAGACAATAGAGGGTCCCAGCCAGTGCCCGGTCCCCAGCCAGCCCCAAAGCAGCTCAGGTGGAACGTGTGTGAAGCTCCCACTACAGCCCCTGTGCTGCCTAGGTGAGGGCATCTGCCCGAGCCGTAGCAACACTCCTGGGTTGAGGGGGCAGAGAATGTCCACCTCACACCACTCTGGGGTCTCCCCTTCTTTCAGCCCCTTTCAGAGGAGGAGGCTGGTCAGCGAAGCACTCTGGTGCACCTGTCATCATCTTAGAAGCACAAAACCAATCCCTACCCAGCCAGGAGCCACCATCCAGGATGCAAGTGGTCCAACAGAGCCACCCTCTTTCTTTTTCCTAGCTGCGTGCATCAGCCCCAGCAGCAGGGTCCAGCTGGAGATGACAGGGTCTGAAGCTCAACAGTCCCCGAGCCTGCAAGGACCTACTCCCAACTCTGTTTTTCCTCACCTCAGTGTCACCTGCCTCTGCAGAGCGAAGCGGTCACCATCACCCCGGGAAACAAGCCCTCTGACAGATCTGCCAATCCCAGAGATGCCTGCCTTCGAACACATCTGTCCTCATCTGTAGGCTCCAGAAGATGACCCTGTGCTGGGCTGAACGGTGGCCAACACAGATGCACACGTCCTGACCCTCAGAACGTGTGACTGTGATCTTACTTGGGAAAAGGGTCTTTGTGGATGTGATGAAAGCAAGCATCTGGAGACAAGTCATCCTGGATGACTCGGGGTGGGGGAGGCTCCAAATCCAGTTAAGTGTCCTTGAAAGAGAAGAAAGACATGCAGACAGAAGTGGAGACCACGTAGAGACAGAGTCAGATGCTGGAGAGACACGTCCACCTACCAAGGAACACTGAGGAAGACCACTGGGAGCTGGAAGAGAGGCCTCTAGAAGGAACAAAGCCTGCCCACACCTGGATTTCAGAGTTAGGCCTCCAGAAGTGGGAAAGAATGAATTCTAGATGGTTTAACCCACCAAGTTTGTAGTCACCTGCTCCAGCTACAACAGGAAACTAATACATTCCCCCGAAATGGCAAGTGCTCTTGTAGAAAAATTGCAGGATACGGTTTGAAAGAGCATCCATGAGCAGAGAACCTATCTGTGCCTTTAACATGTTCCTGAGGCCCATTTGCAACTGAACACTTGGGCTTCAGGAAGTAGATCAGTCTACCCCTGCAGATGACAAGAAAGCCCCCAGCTCAGGCTTATTTTCAGAACAGGATGCTGGCTGGGCCATCATCCAGCCAGACTGATATCCCAATCCTAGTCTGCCCTGGCACTGCCAGATAGCAGGGAGTCCCACACAAAACCCAGGGACGGGAGTCTGTGCCATCCCGTATCCAACCAGGCAGCCCCCGGGGCACAGAGGGATGCTGGGCACTGAGAAGGAAACCACAATTACAGGGTTGATCCCCACAGCATTGACATCCTCAGAAATATCCAGATTCTTGCAAAACTATAAGGAAGAGTTCTCTGGTGTTGGTACTCTGCCAGAAATGGTGAAGTGGCTTCTGTTGGCCAGGCTGGGGCATCTGGGGCTGGCACAGGGAACAGCATCACAGACTTTGGTGGCAGCGCTCCTGGGGAGGACCAGGGTGAACTGCAGCGTCAGGCAGCATGGGGCAAGTGTACCTGTGGCATGCATACCTCCTCAGACCAAGAGGTGGTGACAATGCTGTGCAGGATAAACGAAACGACAAGAGAACAGGTTCCAGTGCAAACACACTGGTCCCAAGTTAGGAGAAAGAGATAACCGCAGGTTACATCACACATGAAAAGAGTCGATCCCCCTAATGACCAAAGAGCTCTTTAAGTCAAGGAATAAAAGACTAACAGCCCAATAGAAAAATAGGTAAAAAAATCCAAGCAGGCCATTTATACCAGAACTGAAAAGGACCCTTCAAGCTCTGAAGAGATAAGTCAAGCTCACTCTTAACAGAGAGGAGCTCACCTGGTGGGGGGGCACAAGCCCCCCCACTCTTGGACACCCATCATTCATGGCAGAGCTGTGGGGAGAGCAGGAAGGCACACCAGGGTAGGGGCCCCACCGCTGTCTAGCCCCAGTGGATACTCAATGGTGCTGCTTCGAAGGATCCAACCCAAGGTACGTATGAGAGATGAACAAGGATTTTGTACCACGGCGATAACCCCGATGTCCATTAGCAGACAGTGTCAGTCCCATGTGCTGCAGCTGCCAAGGGAACAGCACCCAGCTTACAAGACCTGTGCCCCGGGCACTGTGCCAGGTGGCTGGGAGGAAGGCTCTGCCCACCTCAGCCTAGGAAGCCGGTGTCCAGGAGCTCCAGCTGTGGCTTGTGACCTTCCCAGCAAAGGTGGAAAAAAGTGTGAACCCCAGAGCCAAGCAGCTCAGGCAGACAGAACGAATCAAAAGGGCACAGTGGTGGGCCATGCTGGGGCTCCGTGTTGCCCTAAGAGAGGTGAACCTGTGGATGAGGGTGTAGAAGCATGGGGTCCTGTGGCTAGGTCTTGGGGCTCAGAGAGGGCGCCCACTGTGTGTCAGCTGCCCCTAGTTCAGGCCCAGGCAGACAGGAGAGGGAAGCAGCAGAGAGCACAGTCCTGGGCTGCCTGGCAGCCTGCAGCCCTACTCGATGCACTCCATGACGTGTATCTGCAGGGTGTCCATGTCAGGAGCCTGATACTGACACTTGGGGCAGCAGAAGTTGGGCGGCTCCTCAGGGGGGCTTCTCCTCTGGCTGGGCAGGGCCAGGTGAAAGGAGTGATGAGCTGGGGAAAGAGATCAGGCACCAGTTGGGGTGGGCTTTGTGTGTGTGTCCCCCTGCACCAACTGTGGGGCAAGGCGAGGACCAACACCTGGGCTATGATCACCCGAGTCACCAAGGCTAGCATCTCCCCTTTCGGCCTGCCCCTGGGGTACGGGTGTACTGATGGGGAGAAGGGGGCCACGTCCAGTTCCCTCTTCCCCCATAGTATTGGGATCCATCATGCCTCCTCCTGCTGCTCGCTCACCTGGGGCAGGGGCTAAGGGGGGCTGGGAGACCTCAACGTGCCGTTTCCTCATGTCTTCAATCCTTTGAAAAAAGAAAAGAAAGCATCTAATCAACATATCTGGGTCACGTCTCCAGCATGCACGAGGCTGGGGGAAGGATGGGATGCAAGGTGGGGAGGGGGAGGCCACCCCCCCTTGACCCAATGGGCCCAGGACCCAGCGCCACTGCCTGTGGGGCCTGTGCTCCGACACCCACCTGGCTGACTCCTGACAGCTGGTCTTCAGCCTGCTGTATTCCCTCTGCAGCTGCTCCAGCTGTTCTTGTAGGAATTCCTTCTTCTCAGCCAGCTTCTCCCGGGCCTGCCTCTCGGCCTGGAAGTCCGCCTTGTAGATATCCGCCTGGCAAAACCAAGAGAGGGGTGGCGTGTGCTGTCCATCGGCCACTCTGTGCCAGGCCCAGGGAACAGACAGGGGACAACAGAGCCCCTCAGCACAAAGACAGTCCCCACCAGGGCGTTGCGAGTTCAAGGAACGTCTCGAAGGGTTCAGAGGCTTTCTAAGAGGTCACTGCCAAATGACACCCAAGACGCACCAAGTCCTAGCCCTCGTGTCCTAGTCTGCGCCCCCCCAGGCCGGCCACAGGGGTAAGCCCTCACCTGGGCTTTTAGCACCGGGACAGTCTCCATCACGATCTTGTGCTGTTCCGCCTCCTCCTTCAGCTTGTCGATCACTTCCTGTTTGGCTACCAGGGCCTCCTCGGCCTGCTGGAGCTGCTGCTTGAGATCTTCCAGCTGCAGTCCCTAGATGTGGGGGACAGGGAGCTGACGGAGCCTCATCCGGCCCAGCCGTGGAGGCCGGGCCATCCCCGGGCCGGCTGCTGCTCCTGGGGAGGAGGACCAAGAGGAACCAAAGACAGGGTGCTGTGCAAGGCATGGGAAAGGCAGAGGAGGCCAGAAAGAACCGCTGGGGTCACCTGACACAACCTCCCCCAGGCTGACGTTCCATCCTGAGCTGTACAGTCCTCCTCCAACCGTCCAAGGGACAGGGGCCACCCACTCCACACGGACCAGTCTCATGCCCTAGTGATCCACTACGTGCCTGCTAAGCCGAGTCTCATAGGTCCTCCTGCGACGCCACCTCACAGATGCCCCACAACCCCCTTTCCTGCCCGGGCCTCCACCCCACCCACAGAGACACACTCACACACACACAGATGCACACACACACACACACACACACACACACACACACACACACACACAACACCCAGCCTTCCCTCTTGAGGTCAAAGGGCCACGGTTTTGTAACTAACTCTTCATCATGTGACCCAGTTTCAGGCTTTACCCTTATAAGTCTCTTCCAGGTATGTTTCTGTTTTAACTATATCCTTGAAATGTGATCACTAGAAACTACACTCAGGATAGGTCTGATGATGACCAACGAGGCACAGGGCTCCCAGATACCTTCAATACTGGTACGGAAACATTCCCAACGGACGCCTGGCAGGCGGAAGCAGCCATGGAGACAAGCGTGATCCTGCTCAGAGCAGAGCATCTGGAGCCCCGCCCCCAGTCCACCATGGGCAGCAAACAACACAGTCCAAGCATCTCCACCTCCCCCTAATCTGGTCTGACCTGTCACTCCAGGGCCCTGACCAAGCTCTAGGATGAATCGAATATCCCTCTCCAAAGCTAGCTCTGTGAGTCTGTTAAGGTAGGGCCTTGACTTCCAATATCCCGGATATGGGGGGAGGGGATCAGCTCCCAGACTGCAGGGAGAGGAGACAGGGGCAGGTCAGTCCCCAACACCCGGAGGACACCTCTCCTGTACTCACTCGGTTCCGCTCACTGCTCACCATGCTGCTCTTGATGTGGTTGTCATACTCTTGGAAGAGCTGGTGATAGGCCACCTGTAGCTGGGCCAGCTTCCGCCTGAGGAAAAGAAACCATGTTGTCCTGATCCAGCCACAGAGTTCAATTCCACCCCCTTCCTTCTCCTCAAGGCCAAAGGCCAGAATGAGGCTTTCGGGGTGCCTCTGGGTCTTGCAAGCTGTCAGCTCCGAGGCAAGCTTTGCTACCTAGTTCATATCCTTTTCCTTAAATCACACATTTTCAAAAAAGTATAGAAAGCAATGTGTATCACAAAGCAGAGCTTTGGTCCAACTACACATCTCTGTGAGGTTGGCTTTTCTTCATGTACTTCAATCAAAACATATCACAACAAAAACTAAATAAGTTCAATCAAAACATTATCACAACAAAAAAGAAAGAAAAACAATAAAAAACCTGTCACAACAGACTGACCGCAGCAGCAGCAGACAGGAGAGTCCAGCAGTTTTTAGTGAACCAGAGACAATAATGAATGAAATTTATAAAAATGTAATACAACGTCAGTCTCGAAGTATTTATTCTGGAAGACATAGTTCTTTTTCAGAAGAATACGTATTTTTATGTGCAAAAAATAAAACTAAAGACAGATATCCTGTCCCCTTCAAAAAAGTCAACTTCATGAAAATCCAGAAGAGCAGGACGGTTTAAGATGAAAGAAGACTCAAAAGACACTCCAACAAAGATAAAGCAGGATCCTCAACAAGACACTGTGAACATGTGGGCCAGAGGGTGGAATCAGAATGTGGATGGGAGAGTGAAGGATGTCACCCTCTCCAGGACGCCTCTCTGGGGTGTGACGACGGTCAGGGACAGCGTTGGGCTCCCCCCCACCGCGGCCCACTTACTTCTCCTCCGAGGCGGCCTGGCGCTCCATGCGCAGGGCAGCCTCCATGTTCTGGTTCTGCAGACGCAGCTGGTCCACCTGAACACTGTGCCTCTGCTGCAGGGCCTCCCGCTCGCTCTCCAGCTGCCGGGCCTGCTCGCTGGCCACCCGGGCCCTGCAAAGAAGCGCAGGTCACAGGCAGGCCCAGGGCAGGGGGCTACCGGCCAGCCCAGCACCCCCGCCACATGGTGCCGAGACAGACACCAGGGCGGGGGACCAGTCCTGGCACAGGGCGATGAAGGGGGAGGACTCCGGGTGACACTGGGATGTGCGCTGGCCGGGGAGACAGGGACGACTGCGGGGCGCCTGGCTCAGGGTGGGTTTGGGCTGGGTACAGCCATCCGGGAAGGCTGTTCTGAGGGTGAAGGAGGTGGTCCCAGGGGAGAGGAGCCCCAGGAACTGCCCATGAGGTTACAACAGGCGGGTGCTGGGTGTGCTGGCCAGGGCCGTCTAGTGGACGGGTCAGGAGGGACTGCGAGGAAAGAAGCAGAGACAGCCAGCCTTGATAGAATTTCTAGAAGGTGGGGAGGGAGAAGTAACAAATGGGGGGGAGCAGGAAAGGGGCACTGCTCCAGAAACCATGCAGGCTCCACACCTGCCCAAAGAGCCTCCGACTTCCTGCCTGTGGGGACACAGCACTGATGGCCCAGCACCCCCCACCGCCCCGGGTCTCCTATGTCCACACAGCGCCCTGCACTCTGGGTCCAGGCTTCGGCCAGGCCACCTGCTGGACTAGGCTGCCTCAGCCCCACTGCAGGGTGATGGCGGGGGGCTGCTGGAGATCAGCTCTGGTCCCAGCATCTCTCCACGCCTGGGCCAGTCTATCAGATGCAGATCCTGTCTGTGAGCTGACAAAACCCAGCCCTGTCACTGCCATCATCAGATGGGACTGCCACCTGCCAGGGGCCCAATGAGAGACGCCTCCTGCCCTGAGCTGTCTAGCTCAGCACGTATGTGCTCAGCCAAGGGGGTAGGAGTGGAGGTGGAGTGATAGGAAAGCAGGGCACCCAAGAGCCTATAATTGCTGGAATAACGGCCCTCCAACGTCATTAGAGGACCAAAAGCAGTTACAAAACTGCACTGACAGCGTCCCAACTCCAGCAGCTTCTTTTAGGTGCAAAGAAAAAAAGATAGGCAGACTGACTTCAGACTATACTACAAAGCCACAGTCATCAAGACAGTATGGTACTGGCACAAAGACAGAAATATAGATCAATGGAACAGAATAGAAAGCCCAGAGATAAATCCACGAACCTATGGACACCTTATCTTCAACAAAGGAGGCAAGGATATACAATGGAAAAAAGACAACCTCTTTAACAAGTGGTGCTGGGAAAACTGGTCAACCACCTGTAAAAGAATGAAACTAGAACACTTTCTAACACCATACACAAAAATAAACTCAAGATGGATTAAAGATCTAAATGTAAGACCAGAAACTATAAAACTCCTAGAGGAGAACATAGGCAAAAGACTCTCCGACATAAATCACAGCAGGATCCTCTATGACCCACATCCCAGAATTTTAGAAATAAAAGCAAAAATAAACAAATGGGACCTAATGAAACTTAAAAGTTTTTGCACAACAAAGGAAACTATAAGCAAGGTGAAAAGACAGCCCTCAGATTGGGAGAAAATAATAGCAAACGAAGCAACAGACAAAGGATTAATCTCAAAAATATACAAGCAACTCCTCCAGCTCAACTCCAGAAAAATAAATGACCCAATCAAAAAATGGGCCAAAGAACTGAACAGACATTTCTCCAAGGAAGACATACAGATGGCTAACAAACACATGAAAAGATGCTCAACATCACTCATTATCAGAGAAATGCAAATCAAAACCACAATGAGGTACCATTACACACCAGTCAGGATGGCTGCTATCCAAAAGTCTACAAGCAATAAATGCTGGAGAGGGTGTGGAGAAAAGGGAACCCTCTTACACTGTTGGTGGGAATGCAAATTAGTACAGCCACTATGGAAAACAGTGTGGAGATTTCTTAAAAAGCTGGAAATAGAACTGCCATATGACCCAGCAATCCCACTTCTGGGCATACACACCGAGGAAACCAGATCTGAAAGAGACACGTGCACCCCAATGTTCATCGCAGCACTGTTTATAATAGCCAGGACATGGAAGCAACCTAGATGCCCATCAGCAGACGAATGGATGAGGAAGCTGTGGTACATATACACCATGGAATATTACTCAGCCATTAAAAAGAATTCATCTGAATTAGTTCTAATGAGATGGATGAAACTGGAGCCCATTATACAGAGCGAAGTAAGCCAGAAAGATAAAGACCATTACAGTATACTAACACATATATATGGAATTTAGAAAGATGGTAACGATAACCCTATGTGCAAAACAGAAAAAGAGACTCCTATGTATAGAACAGACTTGTGGACTCTGGGAGAAGGCGAGGGTGGGATGTTTCAAGAGAACAGCATTGAAACACGTATATTATCTAGGGTGAAACAGTTCACCAGCCCAGGTTGGGTGCATGAGACAAGTGCTCGGGCCTGGTGCACTGGGAAGACCCAGAGGGATTGGGTGGAGAGGGAGGTGGGAGGGGGGACCGGGATGGGGAATACATGTAAAGTAAAAAAAAAAAGATACACTATGGTTGTGATAAAAAATAAATAAATAAATAAATAAATAAATAAAATTTTAAAAAAAGAAAAAACAAAAACAAAAACAACAAAAAAAAGATAGGCAGAGAAGATACCAGAGTGTCCTAAAAATTACATGTGCCTTTTTGCAACACGGAGTGACAGAGGCATGTCTGGGAAGATGGCAGTATGCAACAATCCCAGAGCCAGCAGGCTCAGCCTTGAGTGGCCTCCCCTCTCACCATCTCTTTCCTTGAGGGCAGCAAACTCACACGTGCTTACCTCCTGTCTGCTCCCCCAGCCTCCTTCAGGAAGGCATCCCAGACACTGCCCGGGGCACCCTGATCACCTCTCGTGCTGCGAGAGCTGGGGCCACCCTGTAGCCCGAACCCATCCGTCTGGGGCACCTGCAGTGGGGCAGCGTGAGAACCACAGAAACATCCGTGCCCCTTGACCCAATAACCTCACTTGCAGGAACCTCCCTCTGCAGAAGAGGGCAACCAGAGGACCTAAGGACGCTAACTACAAAGGGGCTGGTGTGCAAGGCTGGCCCGGGGGTGGTGCCTGGGCAGTAGGCTGGTGCGAGTCCTTGACATCGATGAGACACTTTCCCTACTGATAAGGGTGGTCTCTGTGCCTCAGCTGTTGGCACCACAGGGTGGTTTATGGGGCACACCTGCTTTCCTCTGGGAGTCGGGAAGTTTGGCACGTGAATGACAGCCATCAACCATCAATAATACTCGCGGTGCCGAGTCTCGAGTGGGCTCCCTAGGTCTCCAGGGGGACCTCTGTTGCTGCCGGTGAAGTAACCATGCTGGGGACCCCCTCAAGGGAGGGAGACAGGGAACCAAAGGCGTGGGGGTCTTCACCCCTGACCCGTGTCTTCTGCCCTTAGGGGTCCTGGTGTATGCCCATTCCTTGTCATCAACCTCAGCTGGGAGGGCTTCCCTGCAGCCCACAGGCTTGCCCTTCCATGCCACTCCAGAAACACCCACTCAGTAAAGAAGCCAAACTCCAGCAGAAGATCAGAGAGTGTGTGTCCTGTCACAGAGGACATCTCCAGAGGCTCCCAAAGGGTCCTGTTGTCCCTGGCAGTGGCCTTGGACTGGGATCACCCTCCCTGCCACCTCACCTGCTCTCCAAAGCCTGGCGCTCCTTAGTGGCAGCCTCCAAGCGACTCTGGCTCTCCTGCAGCTCCCCCAGCAAGGATGTCACCTGGGCTTTCACTGAGGCCTTGTCCTCAGCCATCTGCTGCATGAAAAAAAAAAGAGCCACTTTCCATCAGCAGTGGTTTCTTGCCAGCTGCTTGCTCTTGGCACCATCAAGTCCCCGGGGAAGCCTGGAAACACGGTGACAGGCCTCCTGAGGGCTGCCCTCAGCAGCCCCCCTCACCTAACCTCCACCTCTGAAAGCATCTCCCCCTCATCCAGGCAAATGAAGCGGTGGAAAGAGACCCTGTCCTGTGAGCCCCCCCTCCCAGGCTTTCCTCATCCCCGCAGATGGGGGGAAAGGAGAGGCAGGGACGTAGGAGCCTTTCCACCTCTGAGATTCAGTGCTGGGGAAGGCAAGACTCAAACAGAGTGACAGAGATACACACTCCACTCCACGGGCCCCAGGCCACTGGAAGGTGATGTGGACTGACACCATTTCCAGAAGACTTGTACAAGCAACAAGATGCAAGAGTTGGCCCAACTCCCCTTTGCCCAGCTCCCCTCATCAAGCTGTCCAGACTACAGTCCCCTGAGACGGAGGCCTGCTCAAGCCCTGGGTCAAGCCCCAGTCCTCGGCTTTCCCCGCCCCTCGGTACCAACCACCACACAGACCTCCGAGCCAGGCCTGGGGGCCTGCACATGCGCACTGATGCACTCACACACGTGCACCCAGCCCCATCCACCATTCCTTCTCAAGGGCAGTCTCAAGCCCGTGACCCTCTCCATGTACACGCATGTGAGGATGACCTGCTCTGTCTTAAGGCCTTCAGCACCCTCCACAAGCTGAGAGTTTCCACAGTCCCACCTCCAGGACCGACTTGTCTCTTGCAACCCAACTTAGCTATCTGACTACCTGTCTAACTTCTCCACCTTGAAGCCCATGGGCACACCCTATGGATTAACACCCACACTGCAGCCCACCACTGGGCCCAGCCTGCTGAGAGCCCCTTGCTGGGCAGCTGCAATAAGCTTGCCCAGGCTCCCAGTTCTACCCCTGTGGCTGTAGGAGTTCCCCAAGGCTGCCCAAAAGGACCACAAATTTGGCAGGCGGTTAAGATAACAGGAACAGATTGCTTTCTAGAGGCCAGGAGCCCAAGAGCAAGCTGTCAGCAGTGCTGGATCGTTCTGAGGGCTTTGGGGGAGGATCAGCTCCAGGCCACTGCCTTGGCTTCTGGGGGTGGCCAGTGGTCCTTGGTATTCATCAGCTGTAGCTGCATCACTCCATCTCTGCCTCCATCATCATGTGACCATCTTCCCTGTATGTCTGTTTCTCTTCTAAGGACACCAGTCATTGGATTTAAACCCATCCTCAGCTACTGTGACCTCACCTTAACTTGGTTATATCTGCAAAGACCTCATGTTTAACTAAGGTCACATTCTGAGGTACTAGGGGTTAGGATATGGACATTTCTTTGGGGGAAACATAACAATCCATAATATCCCCCCCACTCCAGAGGAATCCACATAGCACAGCTCCCTCCCCCGGTTCCTGTCACACTCAGGATCAAAGCCTGAATCCTTCCACTGGCTTACTAATCCTACATGACTAGTCCCCACCATGACTACCTCCTCAGCCCCTCTCCATTCTGCCCCAGCTATGCTTGCCTCTTTAGTCTTCCCTGAACATTACAGGTATGCTCCTGCCTCAGGACCTTTGCACATACTTTCCTCTCCTCTAAAACAGTCTTTCCCCAGATATCCTATATGGCTCATGTCCTCACTGTCTTCCAGGCTTACTCGATGGCAACTTAGTGAGGCCTTCCCCACCTAAGAGTGCAAATAGCCCACACCACCTGTCCTGTTAGATGAATATCTCCACTTGGATATCTAGTCATCCTCTCAAAACTAACCTCGGTAATACTACACTCCTGATCATCCCCAGAGGCCAGTTCCACTCATGGCCTTCCTTGTTACCAGTAGATGGCTAACCCATGATCTAGTTGGCAGGACAAAACCTTCAAGTCCTTCTTGAGTCCCATCTCTCTCTCACTGCTCATGTCGGATCCATCAGGAAATCCTATCAAGATGTATCTTAGAATCTATTTGATGACACTTAGCAGGTCGGAGAAGGCAATGGCACCCCACTCCAGTACTCTTGCCTGGAAAATCCCATGGACAGAGGAGCCTGGTAGGCTGCAGTCCATGAGGTCGCTAAGAGTTGGGACACGACTGAGCGACTTCACTTTCACTTTGCACTCTCATGCGTTGGAGAAGGAAATGGCAACCCACTCCAGTGTTCTTGCCTGGAGAATCCCAGGGACAGGGGAGCCTGGTGGGCTGCCGTCTATGGGGTCTCACAGAGTCGGACACAACTGAAGTGAGTTAGCAGCAGCAGCAGCAGGTAATGGTACTATTTTACGTGTGACAGTGCTGTTGTGGTTATGTTTCTTTCAAAGTCATTTCTTAGAGATCCACATGGAACTTTTTATGGAAGAAATCACACGGTGTCTGGAATTTGGTTCTAAAAAATGGGTGAAATCCTAGGTATCTACCTGAAAGAAATGAAAACTCATGTCGGCACAGGAATGTTCATAGCAGCATTACTCCTAACAGTCAGAATGGAAACGACCCACATGTCCATCAAACGAAGACTGAATAAAAAAATACGTAGTCTCTCTATACTAGAATATCATCCGGCCATAAAGTGAAATGAGGTACTTGGACAAACTACAGCATGGATGAACCTCAAAAACATGATGCTGAGTGAAAGTAGCCAGACACAAGAGCCACACATTGCAGGATTCCACTCACAGGAGATGTGCAGGTACCTGGGGCTTGGGGGGATGGGACTGCGGAGTGACCACTCATGGGGACACTGTTTCTTCCTAGGGTTTCTTCTTGTGGTTTTGGAACTACATAAAGGAAAGAGATGGTTGGCCAACTCTAAGACTATACCAAAAACTATTGAATTCTACACTTTCAAGGGGGGAATTTTATGGTATATGAGTTTTATTCTGGTTTCTCCAGGGTTAGCATCTTACCCCCATCACCTGCTGTCCATGTGCAAGAGTTTCTCTTATGTATACACCTGGGGTACAACTGACGAGGTGAGGGTAACCTGAACTTTCAACTTGAAGAAAAAATGCCAGATGGTTTTTCAAAGCAGTGTCACCAACTGATGCTTCTAGAAGCAACATGAAGCCACGGCCTCTCCAATACCCACTACTGTCAGACTTGTCAGCTACCAGTAGGGCTTTGGCAGTGGCTCTGATCGCTACTGTGAAGACAGCATCCCATCCCGTGAGTAGAGGGCAGGCAGATGCTCTGCAGACATTCTGAGAACAGCAGCCTTCTCCTCCTCCCTTCTGCACCGGTTCAGGGTGGTAGTGGCTTTACTGGTGGCCCCAAGGTGGTATGGCCATGGCCTAACCTGCAGTTAGGCCTAACTTGAGCACCGAAGAATTGATGCTTTTGAACTATGATGTTGGAGCAGACTCTTGAGAGTCCCTTGGACTCCTAGGAGATCCAACCAGTCCAGCCTAAAGGAAATCAGTCCTGAATGTTCATTGCAAGGACTGATGTTGAAGCTGAAACTCCAATACTTGGCCACCTGATGCGAAGAGCTGACTCACTGGAAAAGACCCTAATGCTGGGAAAGACTGAAGGCAGAAGGAGAAGGGGACGACAGAGGATGATATGGTTGGATGGCATCACTGACTCAATGGACATGAGTTTTGAGTAAACTCTGGGAATTGGTGATGGACAGGGAGGCCTGGTGTTCTGTGACTCATGGGGTCGCAAAGAGTCGGAAACAACTGAGTGACTGAACTAAACTAAACTAACCCACAGTACGTGTCAATGGCATCTGATCTGGAGACATGGTCACTGCAGATGTGGTGGTGTGACGATGAGGTCATACTGGAGGAGGGCGGGCCTCTGATCCAGTGACTGCTGAGAACTACAAAAGACTCGGACACTTGAGCAAGCTCTACTGTGATTTCTTGCAGCCTAAGGTTACGACCCTAGGCTGACCCAGCTCCCTTTTCAGTTCCCATCTGAGAAAACAGGGCCGGCAAAAGAATGTACAGTTTGTTCCAACCAACATTTGACTGAGCCCCCTCTTTCTCTGAGTCTTTCCTAAGAAGGCTCCCCACATGTGAACCCCTACTCTGTCCCTTTGAGATGTCCGTGTACCTCCAACAACTCAGGAGAGGCTTTCTCGGGACCTGAGAGCCATTCCTTTGAAATGGAATCCTCAGGAAGAACAGGGCCTGAGTCTCCCCATCTCTGAGTAGGATGGAATCATAACATCCAAGAACTAACCCCAGGGACGGACATTGCTGACCTCACCACATTGATCCTGACCAACCCACCATGGGTTTTCACTCGAGACCCTGCTCACTGAACCCACCTCACTCTCCCTTCAAATCACCAGCAACCCTGTGCCAATCAGAAGGGTGCCTGGCGCTTTTGCCTGCTGACAGTGGTTACCAAACAAAACCGGTTCCTACCCCTTTACCTAAAGGCCAGTTGAGCTGTTCTTTGACACTTGTGTCTTCATAAGAAGATGAGGAAAGATGCCCAGACACCCGGGGTGAAGGCCACGTGACAGTGTGTTTGCAAACCATGGAACACTGAGTCCTCCCAGCCAATACCTGAGGCTAGGAGACAGGCTTGGACCAGATCCTGCCCTCAGAAGGAACCGACCCTGTCCATGCCTGGATCATGGATTTCCGGCCTCCACAACTGGCAGACTACATGTTTCTGTGGCTTCTGACTACCCTGTTTGTGGTACTCTGTTACAGTAGCCCCAGGAACCTGAGACACTTCCCAAGGGCTCCGCTGGGCTGTCTACGCTGCCAGCAGCATGATTTCTGGCCAGACCCTGGGCCACACGTACCAGCTTGATCTCCGGAGCCCAAAGATCAAGTACCTAAGGTGAGTCATGCAGGCGCACCAGGCCTCCAGGAGTGACCCCCCACCCCCGCCACAAGTCCCCAGAGAGCATACTGTCACGCATGGCCCCGTCTCTCCTGGACTTGTCCTCCGTTCCTTTAGCTTTGCTGATTTCAACCCATATCCCAGCCAGCGGCTCACCCTAATGTCATAACTGGGAGGACAACAGCTTTCCCCAACTCCAGGAGCCCCCTACCCCAGCGCCCCCAGGCAGGCGGCCAGGTCCCTACCTGCTGGCACGTCTTCAGGCACTCCACCTCCTGCAGGGCCTGCTCCCTCTGCTGGCGCAGTTCACGCTTCTCCAGGCTCAGCCTCACCACCAAGTCCCGGGCCTCCTGGAACTTCTGCATGAGGAAGGCCTTCTCCTCCCTCTGGTTACCCTGGAAACGTTGAAGCTCCTCACAGCGCTCGCGCAGCATCTGGTTGCTCTGGCGGATGGCGTCTGCAAAGATGGCTGACGCTAGGTGAGTCCAGGGCCTGTGGCCCCCCACCACCACCCCGAGGACTCCCCCATTGGGATGACTCCCCAATGCTCCCTTGTTTTGCCAATCATTTTCAAGGTCAGCTGCACAAATGACATGCCCCCAGTGTCCATGAGAGCTTCACTTAAAAGCACGTGTCACGTGCACCCCAATGTTCATCGCAGCACTGTTTATAATAGCCAGGACATGGAAGCAACCTAGATGCCCATCAGCAGACGAATGGATGAGGAAGCTGTGGTACATATACACCATGGAATATTACTCAGCCATTAAAAAGAATTCATTTGAATCAGTTCTAATGAGATGGATGAAACTGGAGCCCATTATGCAGAGTGAAGTAAGCCAGAAAGATAAAGACCATTACAGTATACTAACACATATATATGGAATTTAGAAAGATGGTAACGATAACCCTATATGCAAAACAGAAAAAGAGACTCCGATGTATAGAACAGACTTGTGGTCTCTGGGAGAAGGCGAGGGTGGGATGTTTCACGAGAACAGCATCGAAACATGTATATTATCTAGGGTGAAACAGATCACCAGCCCAGGTTGGGTGCATGAGACAAGTGCTCGGGCCTGGTGCACTGGGAAGACCCAGAGGGATCGGGTGGAGAGGGAGGTGGGAGGGGGGACCGGGATGGGGAATACATGTAAATCCATGGCTAATTCATTTCAATGTATGACAAAAACCACTGCAATGATGTAAAGTAATTAGCCTCCAACTAATAAAAATAAATGAAAAAATAATAATAATAACTAGAGTATAACCTTTAAAATTATAAATCACTGTTGTACATTTGAAATACATATTATTGTAAATCAACTTCAATAAAAAAATTTTAAAGCTTGCAAATAAAAAAATAAATAAATAAATAAAAGCATGTGTCAAGGAGTCCCTAGTGGCCTCACGGTTGGGACCCAGTGCTTTTACTGCCCTGGCCCGGGTTCAATTCCTGGTGAGGGAACTGAGGTCCCACAAGCCGCACAGTGTGGCAAAAAAAAAAAAAAATGTCAAATGTCAGGTTCTTTGTTCTTTGTAAGTGACTCTGGAACTCATCTGCCTTCTGCGTGGGTCAGAGCAGGCCCCTGGGTCACTGCCTTCGGGATCAAGCTGGGGGCAAACTTCCCTGAGCTCTGCTGGCCCCAGACTGAGGGAGGTCTTGGGGGGGGGGCCAGAAGTCTGGGAGCAAGTGAGTTCTCTGAGCCTCACCATCCTCGTGTAAACATTCAATGGGGACAAGCATCCCCATCTCACAGAGACAGGACAGGTAACATGGAAAAGCAGCCAAAGTGCCTGGTGCACGAGACAGCTTCAAGAACCACTTTGTCCTCCTCTTCCTGGGCAGTCAGCAAGGGCTGAGGAAAGGAGGGCCACCCACCCGGGGACTTCCCCAGACAGCAGCCCACTGTTGGTACTGACAAAATGGATCCATGGCTTGTGAAGGTGCTAGCCACCACAGAACTGGATTAGAGGGGGCCCCCTCTCTGGTCAGAACCCCTGACGAGCTAAATAGGCCTACTGATGGAACGTTCTTTAGCTAGAACTGCAATGGCTCCTGAGCCTGGCTCCAGAGCCATCTTCTACACACCACTGTCCCTGTGAGACTCCAGCCCTGCAAGGGAGCAAATGATCTGAGACAGGGCTTTCTGCCTCAGGCCCACAGTACCCCCACCGGCCCCCACTGTCCTGGGGATGAGCTCAGACCACACATGTAGCTGTGGAGAGCGAGCTGTCTCCCTGCCCCAAACCTGGCTGCCAGCTCAATGTGGCCCCAACACAGAAACATATTTAACGACATCTGAGGGATATTGTTGGTTGTCTTAACTGGGGGCGGGGGGTGGCGATTGAGAGGCTCATGCTCCACCCACAGTGATCCGGAAGTCCCTTCCCCAAAGCACCCAAGGGCCCTTCCTAGGAAGCCCCAGCCTAGCCCAGAGCAGACCACGCCCCTTCCAGATAGCCACGCCCCTTTCCAGGATACTGTTTGATGCTTCTGTCCAAGGGGTGGCAGAGAGTCAGACACAGGACTGAATGACTGAATGACAACAATGGCTGACCATTACGGAGGCACAGGGGCCTGGCGGTCTTGGCCCGACAGGGACAACCCAGAAAGGTCACCTCAGCTCCAGAGCTCCTTGGAGGGTGGGCAGCCCAGCTTCTCCCTCTGCCCGTCCCTGCTTCTTCACTGCCCTGCCCTTCCCATCCCATCCCCTCCCCTCCTCAGTGTTGGCCTTGACTCGAAACATTCTGGATGGCACTCTGTAGCTAAGAGTCACTTCCAGAGAACCCCAAGGAAAACGAAGGAGGAGGCTGGCTGAGCCAGAGCCACGAACTGGCTCTCAGGCGCCTACCCAACCCAATCCCAGAAAATGCAGAGGCACTGGGTGAGTGGGGTCAATCCTCCAGCAGGACCTGCTCCCCAGACATTTGACTCTGCCCACCTGCTGTCGCCCTCACCTCGGAGCTCTTGATTCTCCTCCAGACAGCGCTGGAAGGTCTCAGGGGTGCCCTGCTCTGAAGGCACGTGGAGCATGGCTGGCTTCCCCAGAGAAGACTCTTCACCCAGCATGTCCTGGTCCCCTGCTGGGCCACCACTCGGCTGCACCATCTCACACAGTGGACTCTTCCAGGGGGGCCTGCTCATCCAACACGTCAGGGCCTGAAAGAGAGTTAGCAGGGGGAGGATATTAAGAGACCTATGCAGAATTCTCCTACCCTGCAGGATGAGGAGTCCTGGCATCACACTTCAAGCAGAATATGAGCATGCTGGCAAGTGGAAAGAGAGGCTAACATGGGCTTTCTGGTCTAAGAGGTAGCACATAATCCCATTCCAAAGGGAGGTGCAGGTTCTTCTGTGGGGCTTGGAAAGGTCATGGTTCAGCACTGCTTGTAAACTGTAAGTTGAAGTTAAGAACATCACCAGAGAGGAGAAATCACAGAGAAAATTGGTTCTGGAGGGATAATGTCGGTGTGCTGGAAATCCTACTCCCCCACACACACACTTCCAAGCATGAGTGGAGGTGAGTGGCCCCTCACCTAGTATAGTGAGTTGAATGATGACCCCCAATAAAGTATGTCCACGTCCTGACACCCAGAACCTGTGACTGTGAACTGCAGAAAAGGGTCTTTGCAGATGCGATAAAATTAAGGATCTGGAGATAAGATAATCCTGGATGAGAAAGGCCCTAAATCCAACATGTGTCCTTATGAGACACAGAAGAGGAGAGACACAGACAGAGGAGACGCCATGTGAAAATAGAGGCAGAGACAGGAGGGATGTGGCCACAAGCCCAGGGACACCTGGAGCCCCCGGAGGCTGGAAAAAGCCCAAAGGACCCTGCCCTGGAGCCTCCGAAGGAAGCATGGCCTTACCAACACCTTGACCTCAGGCTCTTGGTCTCCAGAGCCAGAAAAGGATAAACTTCTGTTGTTTTAAGCCCCTGCCCCCACTTGTGGCCATCTCTTACAGCAACCCTAGGAAATCCATAGACAAGTAAGAGGGTGTTCACAGAGATCACTCGGAGCCTGGTGAGTGTTCTTTGGAACAGAGGGGCTGAAGTGGATTATCCTGCATTTGATGTGTACTGAGACATCTTAAAGCAGGGCCTGGACTCACAGATGAAGGCAGGGAGGCAGAGAAAGGCTGAGCCATTTGTGTTCTCTTGTGACCTGGAGTACAGAGAGGGAGTCTACACCAGACAGCATCAACCTGGAGCCCTTTTAAGTCCTGCCCAAGAAGACTGGCTACATGAAGAGGAAGCTAATCCCAGCCAGAGACTAGAACACCAAACGAGCTTGGACATTTCACTATTACACTGATGCTTCACTGAACACCCTACTAACCCATTGGCAGTATCTGATGGATCACTGATCCCTGATTCCAGAACAGCCCACTCTCCTGGTTTCCCGCCTACCTCACTGGCTGCTCCCTCTCAGGCTCTTTCACTGGCCCATCCTCATCAACCCAGCCCTTCCTTCAGGTGGTTGTGCCCCAGGGCTCTGTCCTGGGACCTTTTCTCTAACTTCAGTCACTCCAATACTAATTCCATCCAGACTCAAAACTGTAGCCCTCATCTTAACGCTGATAATGCCCCAAATCAGAACTCTTTCCTGAACTCCCAACTCACACATCAAATTCCAGATCTCCACCTGGATATCTAGTCATCCTTTCAAAACTAACCTCGGTAAAACTACACTCCTGATCATCCCCAGAGGCCAGTTCCATTCATGGCCTTCTTTGTTACCAGTAGATGGCTAACCCATGCTCTAGTCGGCAGAGCAAAACCTTCAAGTCCTTCTTGAGTCCCATCTATCTCTCACAGCTCATGTCGGATCCATCAGGAAATCCTGTGAAGATGTATCTTAGAGTCTACTTGATGACACTTAGCAGGTAATGGTACTATTTTACATGTGATAGTGCTGGGGTGGTTATGTTTCTTTCAAAGTCATTTCTTAGAGGTGCACACAAAAATTTTTATGAAAGAAATCACACGGTGTCTGGGTTTGGTTCTAAATAATGGGTGAACTCCTACGTATCTACCTGAAAGAAATGAAAACTCATGTCCACACAGGAATGTTTGTAGCAGCATTACTCCTAACAGCCAGAGTGGAAATGACCCAGATGTTTATCAACTGATGAACAGACAAAATCTAGTACACTCCCACGCTGCAACATTATGCTAATAAAAAAGAAATAACTCATAAAAGACCAGATATTATGATTCCACTTACATGAAATGTCCAGAATAGGTAAATACATACAGACAGAAAGACTAGTGGATGCTTAGAGCAGGGGTAGATGGGGTGGTGAGAGTGATGGCTGAAGTTTATGGGGTTTCTTTTTGGAGTGATGAAAATGTTCTGGAATTAATGGTGATAGTTGTGTAAGTCTGTGAATGCACTGAAAAACCAGTGAACTGTATACTTTAAATGGATGATTTGCAAGGTATGTGAATTATATTTCAACAAAGCTGTTTTTGAGGAGTATGAATTAAAAATAGCCACGAGCTGGTAACTGTTGAAGCTGGGAAGTGAGTACATTGAATTTACTAGACCATTCTACTTTTCTACGCCTTTGAAATTTTATACAATAAAATGATAAAATATCACCGTTCACGTAATTACTGTAATAACCTCCTAAAAGTCACCCGGCTCCTTACACGTGCCACCCCCATAGTCAGTTCTCCCCACTGCGCCAGACCAGTCAGCCTAAAAGGTGATTCTGATCACATCCCTCCTCTGCTGGGATCCCTATCATAGATCTTCATTGCCAACAGCTTAAAACCCAAAGTCCCTACCACTACCTACATGGCCGTGCACTATCTGTTCTCCCATTAAAGTGAAAGTCGCTCAGTTGTGTCCGACTCTTTGCGACCCCATGGACTGTACAGTCCATGAAATTCTCCAGGCCAGAATACTGGAGTGGGTAGCCTTTCCCTTCTCCAGGGGATCTTCCCAACCCAGGGATCGAACCCAGGTCTCTCACATCGCAGGCGGATTCTTTACCAACTGAGCCACCAGGGAAGCCCAAGAATACTGGAGTGGGTAGCCTATCCCTTCTCCAGAGGACCTTCCTGACCCAGGAATCAAACCGGCTTCCACTCTAAGTATTCTCCTCGCTCACTCTACTCCAGGTATAGCGGACTCGTTACTGAGTTCCTCTAACATGTCAGGATGGCTCATTCATCCTCAAGTCACAGAAATGATACGAGATCCAGGAGACATTCATCGTTTTGCAAAGGAGCAAAATGATGCACATGAGGTAAAATACTTAGTCGGCAAGTCATATCTGACGCCTTTTTAAAGAACTTTAACCTGAAATGCACAGACGATGAACAGAAAATGTCTCCGACCTATAAGAATCATTCACAAACTAGGGGTGTGGACAAGACGCGCTGGCGGAGGAAGGAGAGGCGGAAACAAACCCGCTCGCCGCCAAAGTAACCTTAGTCCTCAATCGGCCTGCCTCCACCGGTGTTCTGGAAGTGCGCAGAAGAACCCGGCCGGACCGAACAGGAGGGAGAAGCCTGGTCATCCGGGGGGGGGGGTATCGGAGGCGGCAGAACGCCCACCGATGATACCCTGTCTTCGGAAGAGGGCCACACCTGTCAGCTGAGTCGGTCCGACGTGAGAAGGGCGGCAACAGCGGTCCCCAAGCGTTCCTTGGACCCCCGGCGCTCCGAGAAAATCCGGGTTCCGCTGTAGCCCTTCCCTTCTCCCGGTGCCAACTTCTCACTTCCGACTTCCGGTGTCTAAGCTGTGGGATCCGGAAGTAAAAGGCTGAGGTCCCGCCCCTGCCTGGCCGGCCAACGGAAGGTACAAAGGAGGCTGCCCAAGACGGAAACCTGAAGCTGACAGCGTTGGTTGGCCTGTGGGACATTCCCCAGTAATCAGCGTCGCGACCTGCATTCCTCCTTGTCTCTCCAGCAGGGGCGGCACCCAGCCACCAGACGTTTAGCCGTCCCCCCCTCCCGCTAGGGTTGGAACCACGACGAGGCTATTATCTAAGAGGGCCGGTTTGACCTGCTCCGGCGACCGGTCCGGTGAGGGGACGGAGCTGCAGAAGACCCCACCCACCAAAGGGTCGAGGGGCGGGGTCAAGCAGCTGGCGGAAGTGGAGACCTGCGCAGGACCTCCCCGGGGCCCCGCGCCGAAAGCCGGACTCTAGGGGCGGGGTCGGGCCAGGGATGGGGACGCGGGCGAGCTGCGGGGAGCTGCAGGCGGACTCGCGAGGTAGCGGGGACACGGCGCAGCAGCAGCTGAGACAGCAGGCGGCCCGCGGCTCAGCGGCCGGCACAGGTGCTCGAGGGGCAGGGCGGGCCAGAGCTGGGGCCTCCACGCGGAGCTGGGGGAGGGCCCGAGGCGGGGGGAGGGCCCCGGGCCTGGCCGGGATGCGCGCGCACCTGCCCGCGCCCTCGCCCCTCCCCGCCCCACGGGAGAGGAGCCTGCGGAGGCCACACCCCCGTATCTCGCCTGAGGCCGGTCAGCTCAGCCCGGGTTCCCGCCCCGCCGGTTAAATGGGCTGGCGGGGCACAGCCCGGGGAAACGGCCGGGGACTCGGGGTCTGCGAGCGTGACGGGCGAGAGCGGCGAAGCACAGGTAACCGAGTGGGCGGTCGCGGTGCTGCGAGGCACTTTGATTGCCCAGACTTGGGAACGGGGCAAAATCCAGAGGGTCTAACCGAACTCCTGGTACCCTGCGTTGCCCTCATGGGACCCCGTAGGAGACAGAGACCCCGAGAGGGCCAGGGACTTGCTGGGGGTCTGCCCAGCGTGGCAGGAGGAGGGCTGGAGCAACACTCCCATCAGCTGCACTACCTCGCACGCTCCAGCTCATTGTGGAGTTTCTGCCTGCATCCTGGGCGACATGGTCTTAGGCAGATCGTATGCTGCTCCAGCGGCGTTTTACTCAGTCGCCCCAGAGCTGAGGCCCTAGTAAGAATCCAGTAATGCTTTGGGTCATTTTGTAATATACACCACGGAAGAAGGTTGCCCAGAGAGGATGGCCGGAGCCCAGGGCCAGCAGTTTCTAATCTTCTGAACATCCTGCTCCCTGGGTATTCACAGTCGGTGGTTTCAGTAATGAAACATCTGCTGGAGGAGAGCCCAAAGGACCCCTCCAGAAAGGGACCAGCTTCTCAGTGCTCTTCACAGCTCCTGCCTTGTCAACTGAGTTTTTCCTTCACTAGAGAGCACCATGGCAGAGCAGGTGGCTCTGAGCCGGACCCAGGTGTGCGGGATCCTGCGAGAAGAGCTGTACCAGGGTGATGACTTCCATCAGGCCGATACACACATCTTTATCATCATGGGTGCATCGGTGAGTCTCCCCTACCAAGCCCCACAGCTTAAAAGCAGCAGAAGGGACCTCACGGTGCCTGTGCTTTCCCAACTGCTTGCCATTGGGCCCCTTAGGCTCTTGCTCCTGCTCAGGGGCCGCTGTCAACTCATTACCACCCAGTGTACACACACCATGAGGCATTTCTGAAGTGCATGTATAGCCATTGAGTGTAGACCTCTGTCCTGGAGCTGGGAAGCCCTTCGCGACTGTCTGGTTGGACTTCCTCCTCCACAGGGAAGACAGAGAGGTAAACAGGGGAAGCAGTCCATTCCAGAAGGGTGTTTTCCAAACATGTTTCTGACTTGACAGATGTCACACAGTGCCAGAGGTAGGATCCAGGGCCCAATCTCTACCTTGTCTGTCTACCCTCAAGCTCCCCGAAGACACACACTTGACCCTTCTTGAAACCCCATCTCTTTGCCCTGACTTCCAAGGCCTCCCCAGGAGCTGAGACCAGCCCCATTGTCCAGCTAGTGGAACTGCCACTCTGCTGTGATCAGAAAGGCCAGAGACTAGAAGCAAAGGCAGAAACAGAGCATGCTGACCGTACATGTCGGGGGTGACGGAACATGAGAGGGTGGGTGGGTCCTCGGAGAGCCATGACTGGCCCCCCTCCCCGACTAAAAGCACTCCCTCTGTGTGCCACGTGGAAATAAGATCAACTCAGTGGCAAGACATGAGAAAGGGCTGGAACACTGTCAACATTTCATCTCAAAGGGAAACTTTTCACCCTGGACAGGACTGAGAATCTGCTCCCTGGGATTACTCTGCTCCCAGAGCATCTCTGCTGGTGACTTACTGTATAAACTTGAAGCAAGAGCTCCACCAAGCTAGTGAGCTCTTCACAGGGCAGGCATGGTCTCTCTGTCCCTTCCACACCCCTGTCCCCTCAGCTCTGGAGGAATTCGGTTCTTCATTCATGTATCGTAACAGACCAACACCCTTTGCAGAACATGCTTCCTGCCAGTTGTGTGATTTTGGTCAGAACTTGGAAAAAGAGCCAGAATGCAGAGCAGGTGGCTTTGTGTGTGAGGAGGGCTGTGCCCGTGGAAGGGAAGGCTGCCTGAAACTCTCCCCTGACCATCTTATAACCCCAAGACTGTAGGGTGCCCAGGAGGGGCGCACAGGGGGCGGCTTAGCCCCCACCCTGGCCCCAGCCTCGTCCCCTAGAGGAGCCAGAAACCTTAACACCTGGGACTTGGTCCAAGAAATAGGTTGACAAAGAAAGCCCCATCCCAGCCTGTCCCAAGACACTCCAGCAGAGGGTCCCCGGCCTCAGTAAATGGCCTATGACCCCAGACCTTCAACTCCGATTAAACACCTCACTGAGAGCATCCAAGTGTGTTCTGTGGCCTGGGCCAAGTGTCTCCTCCTCTCTCAACCCCACGGTCTCCACTTGGCAATAGAGGTCTTTGGAGCACCAAGGGCCCCCAGGGCTCTGCTGAGCTGATTCAGTGACTCCTCCGTGCCTTCATATGTGGCAGCCTTGACGTTGGGCAACACTGTTTCTTTGCAATCCGAGCAGTTCCCCTTTGCTCTTCTCTGCTCCAAGAGCAATCAGCAGAGGCTTCTAGAGCTGAAAGGGGAAGTGCCGGCTGCAGCCAGGAAGGGCAGGCCGGGGGAGGACCACGGCTTACCAAGAAGAACCTTTTTTGTTGTTGTTTTGTTTCTCCCCTTCCTGCTGGGATGTGTGGGGGGCAGGCTGGCGGAACAAACCTGCTACTCTGGGAGACCAGGGAGTTCTCTGCAGCACAGCAGGCACCTGCCCTGAGGCCCCCCCCCGCCCCCCAACGTGGGAGCTGTGCCTGGGGGCTGGGCCCCAAGGTGAGTGCGTGTGACAGCAAACACTGCCAGGCCTTCAAGCCCCTGGCCTTAGGAGGCGCCAAGGCCCACAGAGCCAGGGCCTCGGAGCAGAGCCTGCGACTCCAAAAAGGATGAGTTGTTCTCCACCCCTCTCCTCCCTGCCGGCTTTGCCCAACCCGCATCCAGCACGCACCGAGGTTCCCCCCGAAGGCAGGCCAGACCCGATGGCCTTGCAGCTGCAGCCACTCCCTGCTCCCTCCTCTGGACTCCCACCCTCAGTAGGAGGGCAGTGGAGAAACTTACTGGACCTGGTCTGGAGTCTTCTGGAACCCGAGAACCCATTTCTCCTTCTAGACTGGTGTTGAGAGAGGAACCCTGGGCCTGCCGGGCTGGAGCCACTCTAACCCCCAGCAGAAACAGAGAGAGCGATTGGGATGAGAGAAAGAACAGGCCGAGGAGCCCCCCTCAGGCAGAAGTGGCTCACTGCATGGTCTGCAGGGCAGCCTTTGCCTCTGGGCCTCAGTTTCCCCATCTGGGCCATGGGCTCAATGAGTGCTCCAGGGCCCATCCTGGAGATGGGGTCCCGCCAGAGTTGAGCTGGAGGACCCGGGCCCTCTCTCCTCTGGGGGTGCTTCTGGGCCACCTCTCCTCTGGGGGCAATAAGATTCCTGCTGTGTCATGATGACTCTGGCGCTCCCCCAAAGGGCTGATGAGTCATGAGCCCCGCGGCCCAGAAGGGAGGCTGAGCAGATCCTTGACCCAAGGGTGATAGAGCCCACCCCTGCCCAGCCTCCTCAGTTCTACTGCCATGTGCTCCGCCCTAACACTCTGTGAGACCGAGGGCTTGTCAAACTGGAGACATGAGATAAGATCGGGGTGCTGGCAGGCCAGATGCAGGTGGCTGGAAATCTACAGCAGGCCCTGCTCCTGCTAAGTCACCACATGGCCCCAGACTCCTCCAGACCCCACGAGTGCTGTGCTCTCGGCCCACGTTACTTCTGGCAGAGCAATCAGGCCCAGGCTCCTGGGTAGGGGGTGCCCCCTAGGCCTCTGCGCCCCCCCCCCAGTCCAGTTCCTACCTCACTTCTCCCTCGGGTGAGTGACTCAGAGCCCCAGGCTGCTGGTGGCAGGGCTGAGCTGAACAAGGCAAGCAGGTTCCACCCCTTGCTAATCCCAAAGGGACCAGTGAGGGCAGTCTGGTGTGGGGCGCCATGACTCAGCAGATGGGACACTGGCTCACTGGAATTTGATCGGAAGCAAACATTCCTCTGGGCCAGGAAGGCCGGGAGGTGACCACTGATGGGGGACTGATGGCTTCTCCTGCTGGAGCCCCACAACAGGAGGGGGTGGCAGAAAGCGGGCACTGGGAGGAGAGGGGCCATAGGGTTGCAGCTGGGCTCCAGGGAGACCCTAGCCAGGGGTCAGAGACCAACCTTGAGGTGCTGCTGTCTCCGGGCTTCCCAGGGAAGGTGGCCGGCAGGAGGGGGCCCTGCTCCAGAGCCCTTGGCAATCAGTTTTGAGCGGCTGGCAGACAGGGGGCAGGGGCTGCGACACAGGGCACCCTGGTTTGGGAACCACCCACTGGAGCACTCCAGGTTCCGCTGGAGTCCAGAGGTGGTGGAGAGATACTGGCCCATGTGGGCTGGGCACTAGCCAAGACCTGGACTGGAGCAAACATGTGGACTCATCCACATGCAGGTGCCAGCTTGGCCCAGGAGACAAGAGGGTGAAGCCACAAACGGGGACTGAGCGTGCAAACCTCAAAAGTGGCCTGTCCTCGCCCCCAGCCGGAGGGGGACTCGCCCACCTGGTAGCTCCCCGAGTACTTTCCTCACGGCCCATCTAGGGGTACAGGTTGCAATCGGTTCTGGTCCTGGAGCTCCTCTCTGCAACAGTCCACAGATGTTACCGCGTCCAGTGCTGACATGACTCCTAAAGGGTCATCTTGCCCTGAAGCCTCAGGTCCTCACCCCTGGAGGTGGTTTTCCTGCCCAGGGTGAATCTAGCAGCTCTGCCCAGCAGCCCTCACTGATGACAGGGCAGGGGGCATGAAAGGGTGTCTGCTCTGCATCCAGGCCATGCTCAGGCTCGCCACCTCTTCCACCCAGAGTGGAGAATTCCTTTGTCAGGTCACCAAAAGCAAACAGGTGGCCGCAGCTATGGCAGTTAAACCAGCCTGGAGAGAGGGACTGGGTGACTTCATGGGATGACCACATTGTTGCTCACAGTTGCTGTGTCTTCACACACTTACCGTTATCTTGGAAAGTTTCACACAGTCAACAACAAGTGTGATATGCGGCCAGGGCCACCATCTGCTCAGTTCTTCTTTTCAGTCTTTTTATTTGTAGGCAACATTCACATACATCAAAAGACATCTTTTCTCTCCAATCAGTTCCGACCTTTATAGCCAGAGAAAACGTTTCCATCTCTCCAGCCAGTCCACTTCCTGCTCTGGACTCTCACTTCTGTCACTGTGGCTCTGTTTTGCCTTTTCTAAAGCTTCCCTTAAATGGACTCAGGGTGTTGAGTCTTGTGTGTCCAGCATTCTGGTTCTGAGAATCACTTGTGCTGAGTAGGTCACTGGCTCATCCCTTTTTTCTTGGTTTGTAATCTTTGTTCTTGTCTCCTGCGCAGCTTGCAGGATCTTAGTTCCCCGACCAGGGATCGAACCCGCAACCCCGTGTGGTGGAGTCCTAACCACTGGACCACCAGGGTATCCCCCTGGCTCATCCCTTGGTATTGCTGAGTTGGTGTCCCACTGTGTGGATATCCAGCTTGTCCATTCCCTGTTGATGGCCTTTCACTGTGTCCCAGCTCAGGGCTATTGGGAATTATGGCTGCTGTGAACCTTGGTGCAAGTGTTTGCTCCACACCACCTCCAACACCAGATGGGGTTAGTTTTTTTCAGATTACAACCTTCCTGGTGAGGGTCAAGCTGGATCTCACTGTGGTTTAATTTGTATTTTTGTGACAGCTGGTCATCTTGAACACTTTCTTGTGTGTTTAGTAACCATCGATTCATCTTGTTGTGAAGTATGTGGTCAAGCCTTTACCGATCTTGAATTCTTTTTCTGTTTTGTTGTAGAGTGGGTTTTTTTCTTTTTAATTGACCTTTTTAACCATGTTCAAGTGTACTAACCAGTGGCATTTAACACATTTCATGATATTGAGGGGAGTGGGTTATATATTCTAGATACTACATGTGGTGAATGTTTTCTCCCAGTCTGTGGCTTGTCTATTCATCTTGTGTTTTTTTTTTTCCCAATTCATCTTCTTAATAGTGTATTATGATGACCAGGAGTTTCTAATTTTGCTCAAGCCTTCATTCATTCACTTTTCCAGTTACTGCACTCTGTGTCCTATCTAAGAAATCTGTTTCTACTGCCATCTACTAACTTTTTCAAACCTAAAATCTCATTAATTGTAATAATTTGCATAAAGCTTAGTTTCAAGTGGTCTTCTTTCTTTAAATGGACAGGTGGTCAGCTAGAGACCAGGCCTGCATGACACTTCCTTCCCACCTTGTCATGTGTCTTGTTCTCTGCCTGCCGCTGGCGGGGCTTCTGGTGGGGCGTTGAGTAAAGAGCCAAAGACAGGCCCTCTTTTCTTGCTCCTGGTTGTTGAAATAGGATTACTTCAACCTTTCCCTACAGTATATGATGTTTGTGGAGTTTTTAACAGGGGCTGCTTAGCAAGGTGAGAAAGTTCCCTTTTATGCCTAGTCTGGGAAAAGGTCCTATCATGCTAGGTGTTTAAATTTCTGGAACATTTAATCTCCGTCTGGTGAGTTTTAACAAGGCTCCTAGATTAAAAACTCTAAAGGAGTAGACATATGGCTTAGAGCTTTTTTTCCTCTAATCTGTTCATGTAGTGAATGTTAATGATTTTTTTTTTTTTTTTTGCTTTTCAGTATCAAACCAAGCTTTCACTTGCAGGATGATCCCAACTTAGTTCGGACATACTCCATGTTTGACATTGCAGGGTTGGGTTTGCTGGTATATCCTGCAGAACTGTTTGCACCTGTATTTGTGTTCTTGATGAGACAGGCTAGGGACCACCTGTGCGCATTTCTCAGCCTCTCTGGCCGCAGGGTCCCGGGGCCACCACACGGATTGGCTCCCCAGTCAGGCTTTGCCTCCAACTGGTGGTCTCTGTGGCATTTTGTGAGACCTGTTGGCAGAGCTGTCTCTGTCAGGGGTGGTTGTCAGGGGCCGGGCTGGACTTGCTGGGAAGGGTGTGAACATCATCCTGTCTTCTTAATGACCATTACCTCCCCAAGTCACTCACTCCATTGTGGTATATTGGAATTTTCCAGAAAAGTGTCCATTTCATATAACTTGTGAGATGTGGGATAAGGTCATTCACAAAACCCTCTGCGGTCTTTCCTGTCAGTAGTTTTGTCCCACTGCCCCCATGATTCTTGGTAACTTTTTAAAAAGCAATCTTGCTCAGGGGTCTGTTTGAATTAATTTAATTAGTCTTTTTCAAATGCCAAGATGGGGCTTTGTTGAGCTGTTCTTTTGGCTTGTTTTCCATTTTATTCATTTTTACTTTGCAGTGTTTCCTGCCTTGTAATTTGTTTGGCTTTTAAATTTTGCTGTCTATTTTCTAGGGCTTCCGTGGTGGCTCAGTAGTAAAGAATTTGCCTGCAATGCAGGAGACTCAGGTTCAATCCCTGAGCCAGGAAGATCTCCTGGAGGAGGTAACGGCTACCCACTCCAGTATTCTTGCCTGGCGCATTCCATGGACAGCAGAGCCTGACAGGCTGCAGTCCGTGGGGTCGCGAAGAGTCGGACACGACCAAGCGACGATGGATGGTCCTTTTTCAAACTTTTTCAGTTGAATGCTGAGTTCATCAGCTTCAAGCCATTCTTTTTTTTTCGCTAACATAAGCATTTAAAGTCATACCTCAGTTTTGTCACGTGCTACTTCCAGTGTCATTCAGTTCCAGTGAGTCTAGTATTTTCTTTAGCCCATGAGCTCTTTAGAAGCGGGCTTCTTGTGTTGGTTTTGGTTTTGCCCATTCAACCACAAGATGAGTCTCTGGATCATGGGATCAGCAGGTTAATGGGGTATCTCCTGGCCAGTGCGAGGTCTCTTTCCCTTAAGGTGCCCCCCAGCAATGTGCAGGTACTCCAGACCAGGGTCAAGGGCTAGACTGGGCCCCAGTTCAAGCAGCTCAGGCTGCACACAGTGGGCAGGACAAGCGTGCACAGGTCTCCCCCCATGGGGGCAATCTGGGGCGTGTCCTCAGCTCCTAACCACACCTGTTTCTCTGCCTCAGGGGGACCTGGCCAAGAAGAAGATCTACCCCACCATCTGGTAAGCCTGTGTCCCCACCGCCCCCTGTGGCCCCGTGCCCCCTCGCCCTTGCCACAGCCATGCTCTGCCCTCAGGTGGCTATTCCGGGATGGCCTTTTGCCCGAAGATACCTACATCGTGGGCTACGCCCGCTCCCGCCTCACGGTGGCTGACATCCGCAAGCAGAGCGAGCCCTTCTTCAAAGTGAGTGGCTTCTGGAGTCTCGGCAGATGGTACACCCCCCTCCCCTTCCCATCATAGAGGCCCTTCATCCCACCCCTCCTGTGCCAGGCCACCCCCTCCCTGGCACCTCCCAGCCCCCTATGACCTGGGCTCACCACTTCCTTCCCGCTGTACCCTGTGACCTCTCAAACATGGAGATGCCTACCTTCTCTCAACACACAGTACTTGGGTGGCATGACTTTGGAGAGAGGGCTTTCTCCCAGGTCCCAGTTTGCTGGACTCTGGCTTCTGTCTTAGGGCATTGAGGCCCCCACCCACCACCCCCATGGGCATGCAGAGCTGGAGCTGTGAGTGACCCCAGTGCGAGGCTAGGATGGCTGACCTCTCAGGGAGCCCGCTCTGCCTGTGGGCTCACAGGAGAGCAAGGGCAGGAGACCAAGATCCTTGTGTCCGTGTTGCCCAGGCTACCCCGGAGGAGAAGTCCAAGCTGGAGGAGTTCTTTGCCCGCAACTCCTACGTGGCTGGCCAGTATGATGACCCCGCCTCCTACGAGCGCCTCAACAGCCACATAAATGCCCTTCACCAGGGCACACAGACCAACCGCCTCTTCTACCTGGCCTTGCCCCCAACTGTCTATGAGGCTGTCACCAAAAACATCCACGAGACCTGCATGAGCCATACGTAAGGCTGGTCTTTCTCCCTCCCTCCCTGCCTCCAGGGTGTGCCCTACCCTGGAGCGACCTGCCCCAGCAAGCTAAGCAAAGCCCCCCAGGGCCAACCGGCTTAGGGAGTCTGAAATAGATAGATGTCCCTGGTTTACTTCCATGAATTCAGTCTGCGGAGAACGGGCATTTTCCGTTTTCTGGAAGTTCCCCGAAAATGCTCGCACCCGTGTTTACCATCCAGATCCCTATATAGACCCTCAGGATCAGCTCCCCAGAAATCCCACTGTCCCTGGCAGCAGTCCCGACTAACACCACAAGGTGGTAGTGTTGCTCCACGATACTTTTTCACTGCTGCCGGCTTATTCTCAGGCTCTCGGCATTTCCCACGGTCCCCTCAACCACCACGAGGTGGTAGCGTTGTCCGCGAAACTTTCGCGGCTGATGGCTCACTGTCAGGCTTTTGGCACTTCCCACGGTCCCCTCGACCACCACCAGGGGGCGGTGTTCCTCCATGGGAACCCTGCTGCCTGTGACTCAGTAGCACCTGCGTGCTTGCTTGTGTCCCTCAAGCCAGGGCCGTGTCTCTTTCACTTTGTCCCAGGTTTGGATGTGGAATGGCCGCATTAACTCTCCGTTAGAATAAAGGGGGCTTCCCTTGTAGCTCAGTCGGTAAAGCATCTGCCTGCAGTGCAGGAGACCCAGGTTCGATCCCTGGGTGGGGAAGATTCCCCTGGAGAAGGACATGGCGACCCATTCTAGTATCCTTCTCTGGAAAATCTCATGGACAGAGGAGCCTGTTGGGCTGCAGTCCATGCGGTCGCAAAGAGTTGGGCATGACTGAGCAACTAACACTTACTTACTTCCCCACGTTCAAACTCTCAGGGGGAGCTTTGCCTTTGGTATCCCCTCCCCCTATTTCCCCACTAGCTCAGGGCACCCCCAGACCCCACAGGACCCCTGCATTGCCAGGAGGGAGCAGAGAGGGCAGGATGCGCTCCTCCTACTCGCCGGCCGGTCAGGCTAGAAGGCTTCCAAGGAAGCTTTGAGCCGAGCCCCGAGGACTGGGAATTAGAAGGGGTGTCCTCTGGGCAGAGCCTGGAGGAGACCCATCCCTGCAGAATTTGGCTGGCCCAGCTGACTGCTGAGAGGAGGCGGGGAGTCTCTGCCTTCACTCCCTAGGGAACGGAGGGTGGACGGGGATTGGATGCTGAGCCCTGCCCCCCCCCAGGGAGGGTGATGCACATTTGGGCTCTCACAGAGGTTGGAACCGCATCATCGTGGAGAAGCCCTTCGGGAGGGACCTGCAGAGCTCCGACCGACTGTCCAACCACATCTCTTCCCTGTTCCGTGAGGACCAAATCTACCGCATCGACCACTACCTGGGCAAAGAGATGGTCCAGAACCTCATGGTGCTGAGGTGCGCTGCGGCTGGGGCTGGGGGCCAGGGGTCCTGGGCCGCCCCCCTCCGATGTAGTCATCCTCCATGTGCCCCTACCCCAGGTTTGCCAACAGGATCTTCGGGCCCATTTGGAACCGGGACAACATCGCCTGCGTCATCCTCACCTTCAAAGAGCCCTTTGGCACTGAGGGTCGTGGGGGCTACTTTGATGAATTTGGGATCATCCGGTGAGAGCCCGGCTCCCTTATCCGGGGAGGTGGGCACAGGCACCATCCCACTCCCCTGTAGGTCCCCCCGCCCCACTCTGGGTTCCTGGCCCCCCAAGGTTCAAGTTGGGCAGCATGAGTGTCCGAGCAGTCAGTGGGGACTGTAAAGGGTGGGGTCACTCTTCTACCTTTACTTAAGGGGACCTGGCAGACATTGGGGATCAGGAAGGAAGCTCACTGCTTGTTGCTGGAAGGCCAAGTTTGAGGCCCTGAGTGCCCGGAAGGTGGCCGACAGGGAGGGGCTAAGGGAGCTCACACCTCACTCCTTCCTGCCCCCAGGGACGTGATGCAGAACCACCTCCTGCAGATGCTGTGTCTGGTGGCCATGGAGAAGCCTGCCTCCACCGACTCAGATGACGTGCGTGATGAGAAGGTGGGTGGGGCCGCCCCCTCCCTGCCCAGCCCCCTTTCCCTAGCCACCCATCCTGAGCACCAGGTGCCCTGGGCCAGGAGGTGGGCAGCCTGTCAGAGAACTGGCAGGGCCATGTGACCAAGCTTCTCCTGGAGAAGAAGCAAAGGTGGGGTGAGGTGGTCCCAGAGAGCCCTCGTGGGACAGAGCCTGAAGCCCGGCTTTGACAGCAGGAGCAAAGCTGCACACAGGACACCTCCTGACTATCGGGGCCAGTCGCCCATCCAGGAAGGCCACTCCTGGGCATTAACATGGCTCCCTGGCACCCAGTGTCCTCTTTACCCAAGGGGTTTGTCTTCCCGGCTCTCATGTAGGTCAAGGTGTTGAAATGTATCTCAGAGGTGCAGGCGAGCAACGTGGTCCTGGGCCAGTATGTGGGGAACCCCAACGGAGAGGGGGAGGCCACCAAAGGGTACCTGGATGACCCCACGGTGCCCCGTGGGTCCACCACGGCCACCTTTGCAGCCGCCGTCCTCTACGTGGAGAACGAGCGCTGGGACGGTAGGTGGTGCTGCCACCCCATGGGGATGGGAGCCGGCCCCTGCAGCCGGCCAAGCACTCCCCAAAGCCGGCTGTATCCATCCCCCGTCTCCTCACAGGGGTGCCCTTCATCCTGCGCTGCGGCAAAGCCCTGAACGAGCGCAAGGCCGAGGTGCGCCTACAGTTCCGTGACGTGGCCGGGGACATCTTCCGGCAGCAGTGCAAGCGCAACGAGCTGGTGATCCGTGTGCAGCCCAACGAGGCCGTGTACACCAAGATGATGACCAAGAAGCCCGGCATGTTCTTCAACCCCGAGGAGTCGGAGCTTGACCTGACCTATGGCAACCGATACAAGGTGGGCGCCTGCCTGCCCCCTGGGCAGGGGCAGCGGCCCAGGGCTCCGCAGGGCTCAGCACCTTGGTGACACCCTGTGGCCTGCCCGCAGAACGTGAAGCTCCCTGACGCCTACGAGCGCCTCATCCTGGACGTCTTTTGCGGGAGCCAGATGCACTTCGTACGCAGGTGAGGAGAGGCTCCCTCCTCCCTCCTCCCCCTCTCTCCTCTCCAGTACCCTCTCCATCCCCTTGCCCCACCATCCCCCTCTTCATCCCCCTCCCTCCCCCCTACACCCTCCCTCCTCCGTCCCCCTCCCTCCTCCGTCACCCTCCCTCCGTGGTCCCACTGGCCTCCCATCCCCACCCCTGTCCCTTCAGTGATGAACTGCGGGAGGCCTGGCGAATCTTCACTCCACTGCTGCACCACATCGAACGCGAGAAGGCCCAGCCCATCCCTTATGTGTATGGCAGGTATGTCTAGCAGGAGTTGAGGGGGACAAGACAGGGTGTGTATGGGGGGTGACGGGGGCAGGGGGGGCGAGGGGGCGCCCTGGGGCTCAGGGCTCCCTCACCGCTCCCCACCACCTATCCCCCTGCCAGCCGGGGCCCTGTGGAGGCAGACGAGCTGATGAAGCGCGTGGGCTTCCAGTACGAGGGCACCTACAAGTGGGTGAACCCCCACAAGCTCTGAGCCGGCCCCCCTCCCATGCACCCTGGCCCCGCCCACCTCTCTCCCTCCACATCCCCCCCACCAGACCCAGCTCCAGAGGACTCGGGACCACCGCCCCCAGCCCCACATTCCTGCCCTGGGCTGGGGCCACCCCGCCACCCGCCCCTCAGCCCAGTCACATTCCTCGGCCAGCCAGCACTGTGACCCCACTCACACCCTGCCCCAGCCTGTGTCCCCGGAACTGAGCCCCCCCACCACCCGGAGCAAGCAAGAGGAGGGCTATAGTTGGGGAAGATGGGGGCAAGGTCCTCAGAAGGCCGGGGATGCAGCCCCCGCACCCCTAATCTCGGCGCCACTCCACATTCCTGGTCCCCCCACAAAAGGGACCTCCATGCCGCCCAGCACCCTCCCTGCGCTGGGCCCTCCGAACGTCAGTGTGCCCCCCAGCCCCCCACCACCATAACTCAGCACTCCACAGCCACCATGTCTCACCCCCACAACCCCCACCCCCCTGCCCCAAGGTGGCACCCTCGCCACCAAAAAAGCGAAAGCAGCAAAGTGCCATTAAATCAGCAAAATTAAGCCACCCGGCTCTGGGTCCTTTCTTGCCTCCTGCGACTGTGGAAGGGCAACCCTGCGGCTGCCTGTCCACCTGCCCTGTCCCCAGCATCGGCTCGCCCCAACGCCCACTTCCCTTGCCACCGGGTTGGGTGGGCACATGGGTGACCTCCGCCCCTGACCACACATCCCGCCCCAACCGAGCTATAGGATCTTGTCAGAAGACCACTTGCGGCATGAGAACAGGTCATGTTCCTTTACCTCCCCCCCAACTCCTGCCACGACAAAGTATTTAGGAAGGAGTGGCTAAGGGACTTGGGGGCAGAAACCAAGGGGGACAGGCGAGTCCAGGGCACACAACAGCCTGACACCACGGAGAGGCACACAGCTGGCCTTCGCGCCTGAGACCAAGGGCAGGCACACTCCAGGGGCTCTGCTGGCTTCCTTGAGCCGGGCCACCTCTGGCTCCGTCTTCACATAAGCTTCTCCCTTAACTAGGACACCAGTCATCCTGGACTGGAGGCCCGATCTCCCCCAGGATAAGCTTAATCTCAACTAGCCAGATTATCTCTGCACATGCCTCATTGCTGAACAAGGGCACGTCCCAAGGGGCCAGGTGAGCCTGCCCACCAAAGGCAGTGCCGCCCCACCCCCCAGGCATCTGTCCAGCCCGTCCCCTCGACAAAGAACCAGGAAGGGGGCTGCAGCCGCTCCTGTGGTCCCCGCCCTGAGCCTGAGTTCTGGGACGTGTGGCTGACCTGAAGCACACAGATAGGATGCTCCTCGTTTGCCAGGATGTTTCATGGAAGGACCAAGCAAGCCGCCCAACATGTGACCTGGGCAGGAAAGGTGGGCAGGAAAGGTCCACTCCCCGAGTCCCCATGGCTATCAGGGGTCACGGGGCCAGGGAGGCCTGTGACCGTGGGGCCAGGCCCGCAGGCTGTTTGTTGGCAAGAGTTTGTTTGGCCACCGTGGCTCCTCACTTGAGCTGTGTAGGGAGACCACCAGGTTCACGTGGACCTAGACAGAGCAGAAGGACTTGCTGAGCCAGGGACAGCTGGAATCCAGACCCCATGGTGCCTTCAGGTCCTCACGGAGCAGCTGAGAAGGCCCCATGTGGACATGCCGAGAGGCCACACTTCATTTGGGGTGGGGACGCTGGCCTTGGTTCTCTTCCCTGTGCCGGCCTGAGGAAGGGGCAGTGAGTAGTCAAGAGTCACAGAGGGTGTCCTAGAGATCCCTTTGCTCCTCTCTAATGCTCTGGCTCCTGCATAGCTACAGAGAGTCCTGTACTGTCCTGGACGCTATGGGGCAGCTGTGTGCCCACAGAGGCCAGAAGCTGTGCTTAGTAGCTCAGTCATGTCTGATTCTTGATGACCCTGTGGACTGTAGCCCACCAGACTCCTCTGTCCATGGAATTCTCCAGGCCAGAACACTGGAGTTGGTTGCCATTCCCTTCTTCCAGGGGCTCTTCCCCACCCAGGGATCGAACCATGGTCTCTGGCATTACAGGCGGATTCTTTACCATCTGAGCCACCAGGGAAGCCCTCAGGGGAAAAAGCAAAGAAACGAAAGAGCTTTTCTTGACTCTGCTGGGGTCTTTGTGCTCAGGGCCCCCTGACACAGCTCCACAGACACCTACAGACTTTGGGGGACCCAGTAGAGTTGAGTGCTGGGGAGAGTCGTCCCAAGCCCCTTGGGAAGCCTTCCAGCATGGCGTCACTGAGGAGGATCCACGAAGGGGCAGGAACTGGAAGTGGAGGAGAGACTAAGCTCCTCCTGGGCCCCCAACATGTGATGACCACGTGGTATCAGGGAGGGTGGGGTGGAGACCCCCGATCTGATCCTCTCTTGAGTGTCCCCACCATGACAGAGGGCCCAGGCCATGGCAGTTAGTGGATAGCTCAGATCTGGGCGCTACCCTGTGGCAGAGATGAGAGGGCCCTGGTAAGGATGCTCGACTATCACCGGATGCCCAGTGCTGATGAAGGACCTGAGAGGGACAGTAGCTATAATCTCAGCTCTAGGAGCTTGCAATGCAGAAGAGGCATGAGATTCTGGTGGTTGTTCATTCACTCAGGCGTGTCTGGCTCCTTGAGAACACATGGACTGCAGTACACCAGGCTTCCCTGTCCTTCACCATCTCCCAGAGTTTGATCAAACTCTTGTCCATTGAGTCGGTGATGCCATCCAACCATCTCATCCTCTGTCGTCCCCTTCTCCTCCTGTCCTCAGTCTTTCCCAACATCATGGTCTTTTCCAATGAGAAAAGTGGCCAAAGTATTGGAGCTTCAGCTTCAGCATCAGTCTTTCCAATGAGTATTTAGGGTTGATTTCCTTTAGGATGGAATGGTTTGATCTCCTTGCTGTCCAAGGGACTCTCAAGAGTGTTCTCCAGCACCACTCTTTGAAAGCATCAATTCTTTGGCACTCAGCCTTTGTTATTGTCCAAGTCTCACATCTGTACATGATTACTGCAAAAACCATAGCTTTGACTAGATGGAACTTTGTCAGCAAAATGATGTCTCTGCTTTTTAATACGCTGTCTAGTTTTGTCATAGTTTTTCTTCTAAGGAGCAAGCGTCTTTTAACTTCATGGCTGAAGGCACCATCTGTAGTGATTGTGGAGCCCAAGAAAATAGTTGGTCACTGTTTCCATTGTTTCCCCATCCATTTGCCATGAGGTGATGGAACCAGATGCCATGATCTTAGTTTTTTGAATGTTGAGTTTGAAGCCAGCTTTTTTCACTCTTCTCTTTCAACCTCATCAAGAGGCTCCTTAGTTCCTCTTTGCTTCCTGCCATAAGGGTGGTATCATCTGCATATCTGAGGTTATTGATATATCTCCCAGCAGTCTTGATTCCAGCTTGTGATCCATCCAGCGTGGCATTTCTCATGATGTACCATGCAAATAAGTTAAATAATCAGGGTGACAATATACTGCCTTGACGTACTCCTTTTCCTATTTGGAACCAGTCTGTTGTTCTATGTCCAGTTCTAACTGTTGCTTCCTGACCTGCATACAGGTTTCTTAAGAGGCAGGTCAGGTGGTCTGGTATTCCCATCTCTTTAAGAATTTTCCAGTTTGTTGCGATCCACATAGTCAGAGACTTTAGTGTAGTCAATGAAGCAGAAGTAGATGTTTTTCTGAAACTGGCTTTTTCTATGATCTAACAGATGTTGGAAATTTGATCTCTGGTTCCTCTGCCTTTTCTGAATCCAGCTTGTACATCTGGAAGTTCTAGGTTCACATACTATTGAAGCCTAGCTTGAAGCATTTTGAACATTACTTTGCTAGCATGTGAAATGAGTGCAATTGTAGGGTAGTTTGAACATTCTTTTGGCACATTGCCTTTTTTTGTGATTGCAATGAAAACTGACCTTTTGCAGTCCTGTGGCCACTGCTGAGTTTTCCAAATTTACTGGCACATTGAGTGCAGCACTTTCACAGCATCATCTTTTAGGATTTGAAACAGCTCAACTGGAATTCCAACACCTCCACTCGCTTTGTTCATCATGATGCTTCCTAAGGCCCACTTGACCTCACACTCAAGGATGTCTGGCTCTAGGTGAGTGGTCACACCATTGTGGCTATCTGGGTCATTAAGACATTTTTGTATAGTTCTATGTATTCTTGCTACCTCTTCTTAATATCTTCTGCTTCTGTTAGGTCCATACCACGTCTGTCGTTTATTGTGCCCATTTTTGCATGAAATGTTCCCTTGGTGTCTCTAATTTTTTTAAGAGCTCTCTAGTCTTTCCCATTCTATTGTTTTCCACTTTCTTTGCATTGTTCACTTAAGAAGCCTTTCTTACCTCTCCTTGCTATTCTTTGGAACTCTGTGTTCAATTGAGTATATCTTTCCCTTTCTCCATTACTGGTTCTGGTTAAGAGCATTCAACTGTCACCTCCATTCCAGGTGCCTACAAGGCGCACAAGCTTGAAGCGGGGGAGGACCCTGTGAGGACAGTCACTGGTCCCCTCATCCCTGAATAGTCCTTAGGGCCTCACTGAGGCACACCTTGGTACCTACTCTGGCAGTGGCAGAGGTGGCCTTCCTTGGGTGAGGGCATTCAACTGTCACTGGCGACCCAGTTGCCTAATCTAAGGTCCAGGCAAGAGGTCCCGTTTGTGGACAGTCACCTGTTACCTCAGCTCCGGGTGCCTACTTGGGAGTAGAGGCAGGAGATGCCAGCACAAGGGCATGAGCACACAGGCCCCTGTGAGCCCTGTCACTTGACAACTCCGCATGCAGCATCTGCACAGAGAGGGCAACGAGGGATTGGCTGAGGGTGCGGGTTCTGGGTGCCCACAGTTGGCACAAGGAGCCAAGCAAACACCGGAAACTAGCACTGCGGCTATGGGAGCTGCCCTGGGGACGAGCAGGAGGGCCCAGAGGGGATATTCTGCACTGGGGCGTGTGGGTTGCGAGGGTCTCATCCTCTCTAAGTCCCTGTAGAAAAATATTCCCAGAGAAACAAATCCACCCCCTGAAGCACAGAAGACTGGGGAGGAGTCCTGGGCCTCTGGCCCTGCACCAGCGTGGTATCCCTGGGGTTGATGAATGTGTCGTTTGGCCCTCAGGGGGACTCATTAAACCAGCCTTTCCAAAATGTCTGCTCTGAGCAAGACATAAACAGAGTCCTCTAAGCACTAGCAGTCTCCTCACTGCCTGGTGCCTGGCTGGCAGCTCCAGAGTGGGGACCAGCCTCCAGCTTCGGCTATTGGGCACCACAACACCCAGCATTGCAGGAAAGACCAGCGAGGATGGCATGGTGCCCAGGGCTTGGTACTCACAGACAGGTGGTGTTGTCCCGTCAGTCATGTCTGACTCTTTGTGACCCCATGGACTGCAGCATCCCAGGCTTCCCTGTCCTTCACCATCTCCCGGAGGTTGCTCAAACTCATGTACATTGAGTTGGTGGTGCCATCCAACCATCTCATCCTCTGTTGTCCCCTTCTCCTCCTGCATTCAATCTCCCAACATCAGGGTCTTTTCCAATGAGTGAGTTCTTCGCATCAGGTGGCCAAAGTACTGGAGCTTCAGCTTCAGCATCAGTCCTTCCAATAAATATTTAGGACTGATGTCGTTTAGGATTTTCTGGTTTGATCTCCCTGCAGTCCAAGGGACTCTCAAGAGTCTTCAGCACCACAGTTTAAAAGCATCAATTCTTCAGTGCTCAGCTTTCTTTATAGTCCAACTCTCACATCCATACATGACTACTGGAAAAACCATAGCTTTGAGTAGATGGACCTTTGTTGGCAAAGTGCTTTCTCTGCTTTTTAATACTTGTCTAGGTTTGTGATACCTTTTCTTCCAAGGAGCCAGCGTATTTGAATTTCATAGCTGCAGTCAACATTTGCAGTGATTTTGGAGCCCAGGAAAATAAAGTCTATCACCATTTCCATTGTTTCCCCATCTATTTGCCATGAAGTGATGGGATCGGATGCCATGATCTCACAGATAGGTGAGAGCTTGGCAAATGATCAGTACTACATGATCCCAAATACTAATCGCTGACAGCTGCAGCAGGGGACTGAAACATCACCTTGATCTTGTAGGGAGAATGGGGGGGTGGGGGGGAGTGTTGTGGATGCCAGTGTAGAAGTTCCTGTATGCTAACCAGAGCTCTGTCACTTGTCTAGCTCTATCAACTTTCTCTTGTATTTTTGGTTCTTTCCTTAGGGAATTTTCCCATAAGTGAGGTCATTGGGTCAAAGGGCACGAACGTTTCTGTGGTTCTCACGCCGCCGGGCTGCAGACACTCCAGACCGATGGGTTCAGGCTACAGGGTAGCCCCAGCTCTCCCAGCCCGGGAGGTGATCAGGGTGCCCCAGGCGGTGTCCGGGGTGCCTTCCTGAAGGAGGCTGGGCAGGCAGGCAGGAGGTAAGCGCGTGTGAGCATGCCGCTCTCTGGAAAACAGACCGGCCAGCGGGGAGGCCGCTCAAGGCTGAGCCTGCTGGCTCCTGGATCGTCGCATCCTGCAGTTTCCCCAGACACGCCTCTGCCACTCTGTGTTGCGAAAACGTACAGATTTGAACTTTGAAAGAATTTCTCAGTACGCACCCGAATCCCGCCACCCATTTGTAGGCTTCAGATCTGAGCACACTGCAGGAGCGTAGCCCCGCCCTCAAAGCCTGGGAAAGGCGGGGCTCTCACCGCTGAGTGAAGTCTCAGGGGAGACGTCAGGGGCGGGGCCGACTGTGGCCCCTCCCCTCCGGAACCCTGCCCGGGGGCTCCGCCGGAGCGCGCGTCGGGGGTGGGGCCAATTCGGGCCCCTCCTACCCGGTAGCCGGCTGCCCAGAGCTAGCCGGTGACGGCGGTGGCAGTCGCGGGCCGTGCTCTCGCCCCGGGTTGCCATTGCCGGGCCTCTCGAGCTGCCCCGCGCAGCTCCCTGGCCTCGCCAAGTACAGCGAGGCGGCTGGCCTCACGACGCTGCCCCCGATCCGGCTCACATCCCTCCCCCGCGGCGTCAGGCAAGTCTCCGGCCGGCCCGGCCTGCGTCGCCGGCCTCCATGCCCGGAGGGGTGGGGGCGGCCTCCCGCGGGAGGGACCCGCATCTGGGAGAACCACTTCCACTCTCCAATCCCAGAGGCTCCCGGGGTCTCGATCGTGAGCCGCCCGGTTCCCGCATTCCCTCCGGTCCCAGCCGGGCTCCTCTCCACCTCCCCGAGGGGCCTGACCAGGGAGTTGGACCAGCAAATCGGTGCACCGATCACGCCCGCACCATAACTGGGGCCCACCACGAGGTCGTCCCTGACCGCCACCCAAACCTGCTGTTCTGCTTTGTTGCCCCCTCCCCAGAGCGCAGGGTCCCCAAAGGCTGCACCTGCCGGCTGCCCCAGCCCAGCGAGAGAAGTGGACATGAGGTTGGCAGGTGGGTGGCTTCCACCGTGAAAGGGAGAGACTTGGAAAGCAGACTCGACTGGAGGCCCAGCTGCCCGGAGGTCTTTCTGGAAGGGCGGGGAGGGCAGGAGTGATGGGACCACTGGGTTTGTTGGGTTTTGCAGAAACACTAGTGCAATGACCTTGAGCAAATCCTTTCACTTCTGAGGACTTCAGCTCCCAGCTCTCTCAGTCGTTTGAAGAGTGGTACGATAGTCTGTTTCTCCCAAACGGGGTGACTGGCCACTCTTTGGAAAAAAGCTATGTGAGAGACGCCCCAAGGAGTGCAGCAGCTGGGTGGACAGGGAGATGCAGTGGTCTTAGACAAGAAGCTGATCAAAGTGGCCCTGGGCTCTGATGGGAACCCACTGCCAGTTCTGCTGTTGCCTGGACAGTTGAGACAAAGCAGGCTTGGGGTCCCATCAGTTTCGGGGTGGACTTCCTAGCGGCGAAGGTTGCAGCACTATGAATGTATTCAAGGGAAGCTGGCCCATGAGGAACTGGCTGGGAAAATGTGGCCTCAAGAGTGGTCAGGGCTGGGCTGGGAAAACAAGAGTCACTGCTCTGTGAATGTCAGTTCAAGGCTGGGAGCAGAGGAGGGAACTTATACAGATAGTCGCGGCAGGAGGGGAGAGTGAGAGAAGGGTATGGACACAGGATTTGGGGATTCCCCAGTGTCATCCTGCCATGTTTTCACTTGCTGCACTGTATGAATGGAGGGATCATTTGCTGAAAGACAAAATACCGGAAGAATAGAGTTTACTTATTTGGGGTAGAAGAGAGAAGATGAGTTCTGTTTTAATATTTAGTTTGAGACACCCATGAAATATCCAAATAGCAATAGTAAAGTAGCAGTTGGCTATATAGATATGGCTCAGAAGACAGGACAGAGCCAGAGATAAACGTTAAGGACAAGGAGAATGGATGACATGATCTGGGAAGAGTCCATGGAAGGAGATGAGAAGGCCATGTGGGACAGAAACCAGGACAACGCAAGTCTTCAGGGCAGAGTCTCAGAGGACAAGAAGGGTGAGGAGCATCCTATGGGCTTCCAGGGTGCCAGCCCAAAAGGGTTTCTGCAGGAGGGCTTCAGCCTGGAGACAACGAGGGCCCACAGATAACCCCGGGGCGCTGACCCCAAGAAGGTCCCGCGCTGGGAGCCTTGGCGACAGGCTGTCCTATTGGGCTGATGGAAGCCCAGGCAGAGGGGAGGAGATCGGAAGACAGAGGGACCAGGAGGGAAGTCTATGCAAGGAGGAAGGAACCAGCCTATGTGACTCTGGAGGGGCCTGCGAGGAGGGAAAGGGAGCGGATGGAGGCCAGCGGCCAGCTGGGGATGTGATCCCCAAGGAGGCCTGTCCTCCTGCATCTTTGGAGGACGGGAGATAATGACAATAGAGGACGTAGAGTGAGACAGAGTGAGCTATTCCAAGAACCCTGGGCAGGGTGGGGAGCTGGGTGCCCAGCTCACAGCAGGGGAAGTGAGGGCTGCCTGGCCTTCTAAAGGGGTAGGAGCCTTCTCCTCCATCATTGGAGGAGACAGGAGGGCAGGGCGGTGGAGACTCAAATGCATGGGGACCTCAGGGGTTAGGGGGCTTCTCCATCAGCATGGGAAGGGGGCAAAGCCCTCTCGAGCAGGGGCTCTGGAAGTCCCCTCCACACCACCAGGGAGAACCAAGCCAAGAGCCTTCCAGGTGCAGTGGTCTTTCCTCCTTCACCCACCAGGAGCTGATCCCCCTCTCGTGCCTGGTGGGTGGCCGCAGGTCCCCCCCCTTTCTGTTCTCCCATCCCTTCCTCCCCAGCAGATGAGGAGATCCGCTCATGAGAAGGCCTGGGGTCGTCTGGGAGCTCGCTGCCCTCAGAGGTGGCCTTGCTCACGTCTGTCCTGCCTCCAGGTCCCCTTCGCATCGTGGCCCTGGTCATCACCGTGGCTGTCACCTGGATCATAGTCAGCATCCTCCTCGGTGGCCTTGGCTTTCCTCGGATCCAGCAACTCTTCACCAGTGAGTGTGGGACTTTCCCTCGCCCCGCTATGAGGGTTGCTGGCGGCAGGCACCTGGACCTGCAGACTGAGGCTCAGGACAGGGCTGGCAGCGGTCTGGTTTGTCTGTCTCTCCTGGGGGGACACCGAGAGCTTTCCCTGCTGGTCTGCCTCTTGGCGTCCGGCATAGCCTGACCCTTACCACCCAGTTGCTTTGGCTGGACACACCAATCCCCACTCATTAGAATTCATTCAGTTCAGTTGGAGTCACTGGGGCCTGAGTAGGGGGTGGGGGGGGTGCCTCGGCTGAAACTTGGGGATGACGCCCTTGTTGGTCCCCGGAGGCTTTCTACTGGGTTCTGAGATGGGGAGGGAACTTGACCCCTTCCTGCCGGGGACACCTCATCTCTAAGGACTTTTCACGAGTCCCATCTACCCTTTCCTGGAGCAGAGAGCTTTGCATGTGAACGTTTAGACTTGCCCAGAAATGTATGTCCCAGGCATAGACCCTGGCCCCTGATCCTGGCTTGCCCTCCACGTTGACTTCCTGGTACAGGACCAGGCTGCCCTACTAACAGAAACAACTCTCTGTACCCACAGGCCAAGAGAACTCAGTGACTGCAGGTAAGGTTCCTCTCACCACTGCTCCTGCAGTGTGCCTACCCCCTCTGACCACCTTTGTGACAGCCATGCTTGTACCCAGCCCACCAGGGTTTCTCTTCTCCATTTACCCCTCCCCATACTATAGCCCACTGGAGATGCTTGCATGCTGGGAGTCCAGAGAACAAGTTACCTCCTTCCAGAATACCTAGGGGGTCAGGCATAGGGTAGACATCACCATTCTGAAAGGGAGGAATTTTAAGGAATAAAGAGGTCATCAGTCTCAAGCAAGTCCAAATCCCAGCAGGGCAGATCCATTCCATTTCAAAGCCTACGAAGAATCCCTGGGCCTTTGAGGGGGTGGAGGTTGGTGGGGCTCTGAAACACAGAGGACGATCTTACCCTCCCTCTGGGCCCAAGCCAACTGTGGCCTCTGCAGCTATTGACCTGCCCTTGGAATTATCCTTCTTCCCTTCCATCCTTTGTCTGTCTCTCTCAGTCCAGCCTGGAAGTGTTCCTACTTGTATATAAGTCTTAAAATCCTTGTTGATCTCCTGTGGAATTCATGAGGGTCTAAGCTATAGACTAGAGAGTCCTCCAGATCATTCCTGGATAACGTCGTCTCTCTCTCCTGGTTTCTGCTGACACAGCTGAGTGGGTCCACAAGTCACCCCCCTAGCTCTTAACAAACAGTTGTCCAGCCACACCCTGGGTGTTGTCTCCTGAGCATGCCCTTCTCATTTTTTTTTTTTTTGCAATATGGTTGAGCTGAGAATTTTCCAGACCTTCACTTGTGGTTCTTTCATGCTTAACTGGCCACTCTTCCCTCCCATGTTATTGTGAGTGACAAGGAGAAATCCTCAACACTCTGCTTAGAAATCTCCAAGTTCAGCCCTCATGAGTTGTACCTTCCACAAAACACTAGAACACAATTTGGCCAAGTTCCTTGCCACTTGATGACAAGGGTGGCCTTTTGGCCAGTGTCCTCGAACACATTCCTCATTTCTGTCTGAGAGTTCACCAGAAGCACCTTTAGCATTCACATTTCTAGTGACATTCTGGGCACAGTGATGTGTGTATTCTCCACTAGGGTAGAAGCTTTCTCTACTGTTCTTCTCCCTTCTTTCTGAGCCCTTAGCAGAATTACCTCTAATGGCCATATGTCTACTAACAGTCTCTTCAAGGCAATCTAGACCTTTTCTAAGAAGTACCTCAGAATCCTACAGCCTCTACCCATTACCCAGTTGGAAAGCCATTTCCATATTTTGGGGGATTTATTACAGTAGCACCGCACTTCCTGGTCTCAAACTCTGTATCAATTTCCTGGGGTGGCCATACCAAAATGGCAGAAACTGGGTGGCTTAAACAGTAGAAGGGTATTCTTTCTGTTCCGGAAGCTCCAAGTCTGAGATCTAGGTATTGAAAGGCTATTCTCATCCCAGAGGCTCCAGGGGAGGCTCCTTCTGGCATCTTCCAGCTTCTGGTAGCCCCAGGTGGCTCCTGGCTTGTGACTTCATCCCTTCTGTCTCAACGCCCATCTTCACGTGGCCTTCTCCTCCACGTCTGTGTCTTCTGTCTTCTAAGACCACAAGTCATTAGATTTAAAGTGATTAGTGAAGTCACTCAGTCATGTCCAACTCTTTGTGACCCCATGGACTGTAGCCTACCAGGCTCCTCTGTCCATGGGATTTTCCAGGCAAGAGTACTGGAGCAGGTGGCCATTTCCTTCTCCAGTCATTAGATTTAGGGCCTACCCTATTCCAGGGTGATCTCCTCTAAATGAATTATTATGTCAGTAACCCTGTTTCCACTGAAGGTCACGTTTTGATGTCCTGGGGCTTCAGAGCCTCTTCTGTGGGAACACAGTTCACCTCGTAACACACCATCCTCCTGGTGGCTCTCCTACTATCCTCTGTTCTCCCACCAGTGGCCAAAGAGCCTCCCTGGGGGTCCCTGACCTCGACCTGAGCCATGTCTCCTCCGCACCCCAGTTCCCTGGTCTGTGATCACTCATTCATCCCTATGGGCTGGGCCTGACCACCCCCTCTCAGGTGTCCAGTGCCTCCAGGGCCAGGCCCAGGAATCACGCTGGTTGTCCCCACAGAGCCGCGGGCCAGGAAGTACAAATGCGGTCTGCCCCAGCCGTGCCCCGAGGAGCACCTGGCCTTCCGTATGGTCAGTGGCGCTGCCAATGTCATTGGACCCAAGATCTGCCTGGAAGACAGGATGTGAGCCTCTTGGGAAGGGGCAGGGGTGGGGCAGGGAGGGAAGCAGGGGCTGTGTGCCGTTGATGGGCCATTGGAAAGCTCTGTCCCCCTACCAGGCTCATGAGCAGTGTCAAGGACAACGTGGGCCGGGGACTGAACATCGCCCTGGTGAATGGTGAGTTCCCCACGGAGCAGAGACACAAAGCTGGGTGGCAGCCTGCCACCCTCTGTCCACATGCCCACTCTGGGAAGTCCCAGTGGGCCCTGAGGCAGTGGGGGGTGGGGGGTGGAAACTGAAGGCTCCACAGAAGTGGTGACCTGATGGACGAGAGCAGGGTAGCAATGAAGATCTCAAACTTTACAGGGATGGGAGGCTGCTGCCTGGGGAGCCCCCAGAGGGCCACCAATGCCTGGCAGCCTCGGGTGGGTCCTGGCATGTGAACCAGCAGCACGGTGGGCATGCACATGTTGGGGGTGTGGCCGGGGGGAGCTTTTGGAAGGGCTGCTGATTCTGGTGGCCTCCAAGTGGCATCACCCTGGCAGCTCCTGCAGCAATGCCCAATTCTTCCCTCTACCCAGGGGTAAATGGAGACCTCATTGAGGCCCGCGCCTTCGACATGTGGGCGGGAGGTGAGTCAGGCCGCCGCTACCACTTTCTGACTGTGGGAATGACAGCGCCTTTGCCCTGAATGCTGTTCCCTCTGTAGGTTCCCTCAAGCAGCTCAAGCACTCCCTTGCATTCAGAAAAGGTGGGGAGAAGGACCGGTGTATGGTCAGGGATTTGGCCCTGGCTTCTTACTTGTTTTCTGGGCTTCCCTGGTAGCTCAGATGGTAAAGCATCTGCCTGTAATGTGGGAGACCTGGGTTTGATCCCTGGGTCGGGAAGATCCCCTGGACAAGGGAAATGGCAACCCACTCCAGTACACTTGCCTGGAGAAATCCCATGGACGAAGGAACCCAGTGGGCTACAGTCCATGGGGTTGCAAAGAGTCAGCCACAACTGAGCAACTTCCCTTTTTCTTTCTTTCCTTACTTGTTTCCTAAACTCTTCTATTTCTTCTTATTTGGTTCCTAAACTTACTTGGCGACCTGGCTTGGCATGAATCCCTGGCCCGCTCCCTGCTTTAGTTTCCTCATTTGAAGAACAGGGGTTGGTGAGGGAGGGGTGCTCAGAGGTGGCCAGTGCTCCATGGGACCTATCCCCCCAGATGTCAACGACCTGCTGAAGTTCATCCGACCACTTCACGAAGGCACCCTGGTGTTTGTGGCTTCCTACGATGACCCAGCCACCAAGTAAGTGATGGCCGAGGCCGACCTCAGCCTCATCTATCTAGGGTCATGGCTCACCTCTCTTCTTTCTGTGCGGCAGGATGAATGAAGAGACCCGGAAGCTTTTCAGTGATCTGGGCAGCAAGAACGTCAAGGACCTGGCCTTCCGGGACAGCTGGGTGTTTGTGGGGGCCAAGGGTGTGCAGAACAAGAGCCCCTTTGAGCAGGTATGAGCACAAAGCCTGGTACCCCCACTGCCTGGCCCAGAGCAGTCTTCCCGCCCCTCTGGCCTGCATCCTCCAAGGTCCCCTTCTGTTTATGCCACAGCCTTCCCTAAATTCTGCCCAGCACACCTCCCCCTGCCCCACGGTGGTCCTGGCTCCCTCACCATCTGCACAGGGAGGGCAGTAACTGATCTTCTCTCTCTTGTCTGGATTCCCCCTAAAGAACCTTTGAATGGGAAAGCTTTCACATGAGCAAGAGTCACGGTTAAGACACCTCCTCTTATATATCTTCAAGATGCTCACCAGACGTCTTAGCAGTCCTTTGGTTAAGACTCCCTGCTTCCACTGTCAGCGGCAGGAGGCAGGGGGCATGGGTTCTATCCCTGGTCAGGGAACTGAGATCCCTCATGCCACATGATACAGTACCACCCCTACCCCCAAAAGACTCTCAGTGATGTCCCATCCCTGCCAAACCCAGGACTCCAGTTCACCCTGTACACCCTGCTCCCCAGCTGCCCTAATTGGGAGGCCCCCAAACCCTGCTACCCACAACAGGGCAAGGCAAACAGACCATTCCAGTGGTTTCTGGAAGGCTCTGGCTGCCAAAAGAGTGGCTCGGCTCCCAGACAAGAAATGTCCCTTTGGGCCTCACTCCTGGCACAGCTTTCATGGGCTCCCTGCGAGTGAGGTGAGGGCTGGGACACACCCCGTCCTTCCCTTCCCAGCACGGGCCAGGCCCACTGGAGCTCTGAGAAGCTGACCCCCTCCAGCTGTAAGGGGACAGCTGCCACCATCTTTACATGAAAACACTGAGGCACTGGCAGACGGGGCTGGGTCCCCAGAGAGTGCCCGCTTGGTTGACCCCAGCCCAAGGGGACAGAGGGTCTATCTGGCCCTGGTGGCCGAGGACTGAGTCCATGCCTTCTTCTACCCCACAGCACGTGAAGAATAGCAAGCACACCAATAAGTATGAAGGCTGGCCCGAGGCGCTGGAAATGGAGGGCTGCATTCCCAGGAGGCCCGCAGCCAGCTAGGGGCCAGGCTCACAGAAGAGACTGAGCAAGGCTGCGTGTGCCCGGCCCCTGATGAGGCGCCAGCACAGGGCTAAGACCCCGATCTCACGCCCAGCACGTTGGGGCTTTGAGGTGGTGACCAGCGACCAGACCGTGACCAGTAGTGGGGCTGCGCAGCGGATCCCGTCGCACTTTGTGTCTGGGGGGAACCCCAAGTACCCGTCTCCTATTCTGAAAGCTGCTCCCAGCCAGGCGAGTCCCAAGCACCTGCAGCCCCAGGTTTGGTAGTGGCTGCCTAGAAGGTTCGGGCACCTTCCAGAACCTCTACATCCCAGAGTGCCTTGCGGCTCCATGGGCCAGGCCTGTTTCCAGCGTGATTTGTCGTGCTGGGCTACCTGGCCACCTCCAGGGAGGGGCGGCCACCTTGGAGCCAGGCCAGCTCTCTGCTCAAGTTGTAGCCTTGATGGCAGTCTCTGGAGTGGCGGGTGGCCACCCCTGTGGTTTGTCAGAGGGCCCGCCTTCTCCATGACCTCTTAATAAACTGGTGGCCCCAATAGGATGAAGTGTGTTCAGAGGGGGAGTCAGGGTTGTTGGTGTCCTGGGGGAGGGACACATCCTCAAGGCTCAACCGACTTGCCTCCACACCTTTCATAGGAGGCCTGTGTCTCCAGGGCGCATGTCATCCACAGGCCCCTCTGCCCAATGGGCATCGGGCATCCCTGTAGTTTGCCTGGAAAACTGATTCTGGCTGCCAGAAACTGGATGAATCCCTTGGACCCAGGCCTGTAGGGACAGGAGTGGAGATTCAAATCAATCCAGGAGGCTTCCCCCTCCCGCCCCGGCCTCCCTCAAGAGCTGGCGTGTCTCCCCACAGTGCTCAGCTTTAGATAGCTTTGAAATCAGGGCACGAGGGATCAAGGTGGGGGGCCATTTGGCACTTCTCAGAGATCATAGCTCTATTTCCCTGCATTGGGTGAGAACCAGCAAGAAATGATAAGGAGTTTTGCTGGAAAAGTGCACAACGGGGTGCAGAAATGGCCTGGTGTCAGGAAAAGGAGGGAAGGCAGTTTGGACTTCCCAGGTAGAGGAATCCATCAGGCACCAGCCAGGTCGCATTGAGGGTGCCGTGGCAGGGGGCAGTGGACGTTTGAGTCCCCCTCTAGGGGTTAAGTGCTGCCAGAGTGTGAGTGCATCATCAGAAAAGGAAGGTATTTAAAAAAAAAAAAAGAAAGAAAAGGAAGGTATTTAAGGAGGCACAGAAGAGAGAGAAGCCCGGGATGGCCCAGGAGGAGAGGCTGTGGCTGTGGGGCCACGGTCACGGCCATGAAGGGTCAGGGAGTTGCAGATGTGAGGGCGGCCTGGATTGCTTGCCTGGGAGATGGTGATCACACGAGCTGAAGATCAGTTCTTGACCCCGTGCCAAGAACTTGAGGTGTTTTCATTTTTACATCGACTTTGTTTTCTGGAATTTTAGGTTCCCAGCAAAGTTGAGCAGAAAGTCCAGAGTTCCCTCATACAGCCTCCACTGAAACATCATCACCACCCAAAGTCCAGGGTGGACACTGGGGTTCCCTCTTGGTGTCGTGCACTCTGTTTGACAAGTGTTCATAAGGACAAGTGATAGTTGAGTCACTAAGTCATGTCTGACTCTTCCGACCCCATGGACTGTAGCCTGCCAGGCTTCTCTGTCCATGAGATTCTCCAGGCAAGGATACTGGAGTGGGTTGCCATTTCCTTCTCCAGGGAATCTTTCCGACCCAGGAAATTGAACCCAGGTCTCCTGCCTTGCAGGCAGACTACCAAGTGAGCTACGAGGGAAGATGCAATGACCAAGTACTTAACCATTATAGTATCATCTATGTTATTCATCTTTTTTTAACCTTCTATTATGGACACTTCCAACATCCTCCAAAGTAGAGAGAATAGTCTGATGGATCTGGATGTACCCATTGGGGCTGCCACAAGGATCAACATGTGGCCAGTGCTTCATCTGCATGTGTTACCTGCTTGGTCCTCACAGCAACCCCAGTGAGCAAGTGCTGCTGTGACCCCCGTTTAGAGAAGAAAAATGGTCCCTGGTATGCTTAGGAAAGCTTCCCTGGGGCTGGGAGGTTAGAAGCCAGCTAAATAGGGCCCCACAAAGTTAGTGACTCGCCCCAGATGAAATGCACCTTAGTCAAGGGACAAACTACAAGGCTGGGAGGTGCCTCTTATCTGCTATGCCAGCTGACCTGCCCCAGACCTTCATCGCTTATGTTGGATTCACACAGATGGAAGCAGCAGGCCAGCTTTATCCCCCACATGGCCCAACACACGCCAGGATGCTGACATGGGGTGGTGTGCAGCCCGCCAGACCTTCCAAAGTAGTGGGCCGTCTTTCTACACCCAGTGGTCCTCCTCCACCAGGGTTTTGTCCCCCAGGCCTACCCTCAGGAGTTAAGACATCCTCAGTTACAGTTACAAGAGCCAGGGTCCCAACCCAACTGGCACATGCAAAAATAGAGCCATGATAGCAGAGGGAGGCTGAATTTTCCTGTAACAGACCCCCAACACCTACAGGTGACTCCAGCTCCAGTCATGTCCTCAGGGCTCTCGTATGTTGGCTCCCCTTTTTTTTTGTATTCGTGTCATTTTCAAACGTGCTGTCTTCCCGGGCAGGGGGAGCACCCCAGCAAGAAAGAATTCCCATCTTCCCAGTCCCTAGGGAACTACCTCTCATTGGTCCAGATTGGATTATGGGTTTATCTTTGCCTCAATCTGTGTGGCCCTGATTGGTTACCTCTGTGTCATGCACCCCCAGGGGCCAGCATTGGGGTCATCCACATGCAAACCTTGTGTACTGAGCGAGAGTGGAAGAGAGATGGCCCCCTAAAGAAAACTCAGGCACCACGACCTGTAGCTGGGCTTGTAAAAACGCCAGTAGTCACTACATTTCCCGGTAAATACCAAATGCATCCCATACTCATGCTTGTATAGAATATGCCTTCCATGCCTGCTTATTTATTGCACAGTCTTCCTGGAGGCCCCTGCCTGGAGAGCAGGAGGTAAGTCCACCTCTCAGGGTCATCACTGTGCTCTCTTAGCGGGATGGCAGTGGTTCTCCCATCTGAAGTGCCCTGATGTTCTTTTAGATGTAACTATCATTTGTTCCATCTGTTTCTTGGTCCAGATGACTTCTCCTTTGGAACTAGATATCCTTGACTGACTCATAGAAACCTTCCTTCTCTAGGGTAAATTATTAATCCTTGAAACTAACTACAAACATTCTTATTTTTTTTTGTTGTTGTTCAGTCACTAAGTCATGTCCAACTATTTGTGACCCCATGACTTTAATTTAGTCACCCCTTTTTCCTGGAGGGAAGGCCTCCAAATTCCTTCAGGTCAGATACCCCACCAGACCCTCTGGCTTTTCAGGGAAGGCTGGAGAGACTGACGATAACGGGGAGCAGCCTTCTAACTACATTTGTTCTCCTTGACCCCTGACACCAATTCTCATCCAGTTGGGAATATAAAAATGAAGGGTTCCTCAAGGGTGAACACATCGTTTAGGTTTTCCATCCCCAACGTTCAGCTGATCCATCCCCCTTCTCCCTCTGGCCACTTTTACCCCATCCTCAGACGACAGCACCACTGCTCCTTTGCAAAATTGCAGTCTTCAACCTAGCATGTGCCAAGTCAGCCCTCTCACCTGTGCCAGCCTGCTTCCATTAGGACCTCTCAACCCCATTTGAGGGGGACAGTACAGACTTTCTGGAATACCAAGTCCACACACACACAAAAGGTTTATGTCTTAACTGAGGCCAAAGAACAGCCTAGAGCTACAGCTCTGAATGTTTCTTGATCACTGACATAAACCCTCTTGAGTGTGCACCCCACCATGTGTGTCTATCTGCTTACACATCACATGCATGTACTAATCTGAACTTTATAACACACATACACAAATACAGTTCTCAAAAAATAAGGCTAAATTAAAATTAATAGGTTTCTTTTTAGGTGATTACAGTTATTATTTATTGGGAAAATAAATAAAAGTAGAGATGCTACAGGTCTTTTTGGACATTCTCTACAATGTGTCTTAGGAACCTTCTTGGGGCAAGAACCTGCAACTTTGGGCACCACTGGCCTCCATCACAGCCCTGACAAGAGTTTCCTCCAGAGCAGTGGGTAGCTACTGTCCCGCTGCCTGAGTGCGGTTGCCCAGCAACCTTTGGGAATATACAAATCTCCTTTGATTATACACTTGCTCACTGTCTTCCCACGTCCACGTTCTACACCCTCACCACCTTTTTGCCCTTCCTTAAGCCATGTGTTTGCACTCCTCCGTGAAACCTTAGGACCTTGCTGGTGGCCCCAAATAGTTTTGAAAACGTCCGGACCTTACTGGTGGCCCCAAATAGTTTTGAAACCTCCGGACCTTGCTGGTGGCCCCAAATAGTTTTGAAACCTCCGGACCTTGCTGGTGGCCCCAAATAGTTTTGAAACGTTCAGAAATCCACTGTTCTTACACAAGGTGGAAATAGGCGCTTGGTCGATGCTTGTACATAGGAAGGTGGAACATGGCCGAGACTGGGTCCCAGAGTATGGCTCCGTCGGAGTCGGCCCTCTGGCCACAGGGCTAGCGCCCTGAGCAGGCACGTAACAGAAACCCTGATTCCCGGGTCCCGCCACTAAGCAGCAGCTCTCGGGCGTGCTAGCTTGGCTAAGGGCTAAGCATGTGTCCCACTGACCCCAGAGGTCGCAACGTGGTTGGGAAGGACTGGGGTGCCTACCCGGTGCGGGTCGCCCCAGCAGCGACCACAGAACACTGGGATACGCGTCTCGCTAGCCACACGAGACAGTCACCCGACCCACCGCGACCCGGAAGGTAGTCAGGCCGGCGCGCGCACACGCAGAACCGTCGCTCCCATGTTATGTCACAACCGGTCTGGGCCCGCCCCGGCGGTGAGAGGTGAGGGGGCCGTCCTGGGGTAGGCGGGGCGGGAGTATGGGGCGGAGGTGGAGGCGGTGCTTCGTCGAGCTCGGGGCAGGGCCCCGGCTGGCCGTCTCTCGGGCGTCCGCCGGCCCGGCGGGCGCTGGCTCCGGCGCCGAGCTTCCGGGCCGCCGAAGCAAGTGAGAGCCTCAGGCCGGAAGGGCGGGTGGAAGGCGGCTTCTGGCTCCGGCCGGTTTCCGCCCTCGCTTGCTGTGGCTGCCGGGTGCCGCGGAGAAGGGTAGCCGCCTGGCGTTTGTGCAGCCGTGGGGACCGAGAGTGGCGTGCGGGATCCCAAGGCCGCCCAGGCGGGTCGCCGGCCTGCCGGCTGCAGGGCGCTCCTCCCCGCCTCCCTCCCCAGTTTCTGCCCGAGCTCTGATCTGCCCTGTCCGACAACTTCCGGACTCCCAGGTAGGGAGGAGCCCCGGGTCAGCACTGCCAACTGCACCGACACCGAACACTCGGCCAGTGTGAGAAAAGCTGCTGACCCGGGGTTCCCTCCCTCGTCTTGGGGAATATCTGCCAAAACTCTTCCTGGCACCTCAAGCAGAAATGGTGGGATCTGGGCCAGATCCCCCACACAGTGACTCAAAGCCACCAGCGGTACTGGAACGACGGGGTGCATGGCCCTTCGCCTCCTCTGCCTTCTGAACTGGTTCACAACAGACCGGTGGCTTCAGTCTCGGGTGCCTTCATTTCTTCCCTGTGAGTCCCCTCCACTGTACTTCTCCTGCTCCCTCTGGTTTTCCTGCCTCCCTCTTCAGTGGTGAGACCCAAGGCTGGATCAAGGCCTCCAGGGTAAGTGACCCAAACGCCAAGCCAGGAGAGGCTATGGCATCCCAGGGTGGTAGAGGATGAATTTCCCAGGGATGAGCCTTCTGCTGAACCAGCCCTCCACCACCTATTTCCACTGCTCCCCAGTCTCAAATGAGACTATCCCTGATAGGATCTAGAGACGCAGGGGCCTCTTCCAAGACTCAGACAACACCAGGCATGAGTCAGTCAGCAGTAAGGATGAAGAATTACTGTGTCCTCATCTTGGTTGCCCCAGTTCCTGCAGGACAATAGGGTGCAGGCTGCCCAAATTGAGAGGGAAACGTCCTTCTTTCCCCTTGAGGCAGCCCGCCCCTCTAGAAACACTCCTCAAGCCTAGTTCTAGGCTCTTGTAGGGGTCTGCATGGGCATGGGAGGAGTCCCTGAACTATGAGCAGAGCCTCTCAGATGTGGCACAGTGGCTCTAGGAGCTCCAATTCTGGGCCTGCCAGGGGAGTGAGAGCTCTGACAGAAAGGGGAGAAACCTCTCAGTAGACACATGGACCTGTCTGATCCCTTTCTGCTGCCCTTTCTGGCAACTTCCCTGGGGAGAGGGGGACCTGCTTACTCCCAGAACCTCCATCTTGCCACTGTCAGCAGGTAGTTAGGCCAGATGGTCACACACAGCAGCACTGTTCACATGGCAGCGGTGAACGTCAGCACATGGGGCCTTTGGCCTGGGGGTAACCCGCTGCCCACACCACTTTGCCAGCTGCTCTCTGCCAATCAGATGACACTCAGATGCCATGAGCTGGCCTGCTCTCATCGGGCCTGCTTCCTGAGCATCCCTGGGGCATCCTTCAGAGATTTCCTCCTGGTTGTGGTACTGCCACAACTGTGCCTCTCAAAGCAAGTGGGGCACAGGCTAGTGGTGACAAGACTGGGGCTGGCTCTCCCTGGTGGCTGATCATGGCTGATCCCCTGGTGTCAGGCCATCTCTGAATTGTGGAAATCAGCCCGAATCAGCAGGCCGAAGGCGAGGTGGCCCTTCTGGGGAAGCTTAAGGCAGTTGTGACTGGGGAAGGGACACCCCAGTGGCACTCAAGGGCCAGCACTAGGCGTTCCCTTTCCATCCCCAGGCTTGCAGCAAGGGACCTTGCCGAGTCTCCCAGCAGTGGAACTTCTCAGTCATGCTCCTGGGCTCACAGCTGCTTGCCCTCACCAGCCACCACCATGTCCCTTCTCTTCTCAGGAAGAGCTCTACCATCAAGAAAGGCAGCCCAGTGCCAGGCCTCGCCCATGGACCCTTCTCAGGACAACCCAACGGCACCAGCAGGGCTGGTCTCCTAAGCCGCAGAGGGCCTGCACGCCCCACCCTTCGGAAGGAGCCATGGTGTTTAGGAGTGGTGAAGGCCGCTCCCTGCAGTGGCCTGGCCCAGAAGGGGGCACTGGTTGCACAGGCCCCCAAAGCATGCTCAGGGCCACCCTACTGCTTATCAGCTTGCTCTGGGGGGCCCGGGGAACAGCCAGTGCCAGTCTCAGCCCAACTCTGGGCCATCCCGTGCACCTGACCAGGGCCCGCTACCTGAGCATTGGAGATGGCTCTGTGATGGAGTTTGAGTTCCCAGAAGAGAGCGAGGGCATCATTGTGATCACAAGCCAGTACCCAGGCCAGGGCAACAGGACGGGGCCCAGCCCCGTGCTGAGGGTCACCTCCCTGGACCCAGAGGTGCTGACCATCAAGAATGTGAGTGCTATAGCCTGGGGCAGCGGCGGCAGCTTCGTGGTGAGCATCCGCTCGGGCCTGCCTGGGATAGCTCCACTCCACATCCAGCTCACGGACCCCCGTGAGGCCCCGCCCAGGCTGATCGAGGAGCGGAGAGATTTCTGCATCAAGGTCTTACCCGCTGAAGACACCCCCACCACCCTCGGCACTGACCTGGTCCACTTCTCAGAGAACCCAATCCTCTACTTGCTCCTGCCTCTTATCTTCGTCAATAAGTGTTCATTTGGGTGCAAAGTGGAGCTCGAGGTGCTGAAGGGGCTCTTGCAGAACCCCCAGCCCATGCTGCTGGGCCTTCTAGGCCAGTTTCTAGTCATGCCCTTCTATGCTTTTCTGATGGCTAAGGTCTTCATGCTGCCCAAGGCCCTGGCTCTGGGCCTCATCATCACTTGCTCGTCGCCCGGCGGCGGGGGGAGCTACCTCTTCAGCCTCCTCCTTGGAGGGGACGTCACTCTGGCCATCTCTATGACTTTCATCTCAACGGTGGCTGCCACTGGCTTCCTGCCACTGTCCTCAGCCATCTACAGTCGCCTGCTCAGCATCCATGAAACACTCCATGTGCCCATTTCCAAGATCCTGGGGACCCTGCTGTTCATTGCCATCCCCATCGCAGCAGGCGTGGTAATCAAGTCCAAGCTCCCCAAGTTCTCGCAGCTACTGCTGCATGTCATCAAGCCCTTCAGCTTTGTGCTGCTCCTGGGTGGCCTCTTCCTGGCCTACCGCATGGGGGTCTTCATCCTGGCAGGCGTCAGGCTGCCTATCGTGTTGGTGGGCTTCACGGTGCCCCTGGTTGGCCTCCTGGTGGGCTACGGCCTGGCCACATGCCTGAAGCTGCCAGTGGCCCAGCGGCGGACTGTCAGCATTGAGGTGGGGGTGCAGAACAGCCTGCTGGCCTTGGCCATGCTGCAGCTGTCCCTCCGCCGCCTCCAGGCTGACTATGCCTCCCAGGCCCCTTTCCTTGTGGCACTTAGTGGCACCTCGGAGATGCTGGCCTTAGTAATTGGCCACTTCATCTATAGCAGTGTGTGCGCCGTTCCCTGAGGCCCCCTGGGTCAAGCTTTCGCCAGGCACCCCTATCCCCCAACCTCCACCAACTGTCCCCACCATTCTTGTGTACCAAAGGCCTTTAGTTCTCATGCACTATGCACAAGGAAAAAAAATCCAGGCTTATTTTTTTTACTCGTTTTTTATTCTCCAGCTTTCAGTGCCAAAGAGGCCATGCTGAATACTGTAGGCAGGCACTGCCCAGAAAATATATTTCAATAAAACAGAGAAGCAAGCTTGGGTCCCTTGCTGTCTTTGCCTTCTGAGCCCTGCGGGTCGGGGAAGGAAAGGCGTGGTGTGGCCAGGTAGGTGTGGGTCAGGGTGGAGGGCTGGCTTGGGCGATACAGTGACCTCTGGCCAGAACTAGCCCTCCTCGCCCCTGCATCGCCTCTGAGAGCTGTTATCTCTCTGTTCTAGAAGGAGCAGTGGGAAAGGCAGAGGCCAGACTCTCCCCGCCAGATATCAAGCTCAGTTGCTTTTCCACAGGTGGACTAAAAAGGAGGCCGGCGGGTGGCGAAGTGAGCTCGGCGGGGCCGGGTCTTCTGCGGGTTCCTTGAGAGGCAGGGGATGGGATGGGCATCAGCGTTGACCTGCTCTGCCCGCGGGCAGGGGCACGCGAACTCCCGGCCCGCCGTCTCCCGGGGCCCAGCTCGTCCCTCCACCCTTTCCCCTCTCCGCGGGCTTCCCGGCTCCGTTGCCCTGGGGTCCGCGGAGGACGGTCCAGGTTATGGGGGGAGGGGCCTGCGACGCCGAGGGGCGGGGCTGCGACGCCGGGCGCGCCCCTCGCGAGGCTTCCGGCGGCGGCGGGCGGTTCCGGCGCGCGCCCGGGGCGGCGGCGCGCGGCGGGGGGCCTTTGGGGTGCGCGCCGGCCCGAGTGGACGCCTCGGCGGCCGCCATGCAGCTAACGGTGAAGGCACTCCAGGGCCGCGAGTGCAGCCTTCAGGTAGCATCGCTGGGCTGGGTCGCGCGGTCGGCCCCGCGGGCGCGGGATCGGGCCGCGGGCGGGGACAGACCTGGCGGACCGGCCGCCCTGGGAGAGATCGGGAGAGCCGTCCTCCGCGCGGGCCGCGGCCTTACCTCCTGCCCACCTTTCTCGGCCGGGACAGGTGTCAGAGGACGAGCTGGTGTCCACGCTGAAACATCTGGTCTCCGAGAAGCTGAACATCCCTGTCCGCCAGCAGCGGCTGCTGTTCAAGGGCAAGGCCCTGGCAGGTAACCAGGGAAAGGGGACGCCGGGGGAGATCCGCGGGAAGTCAGGGGACAGGGCGTCCAGCCCAGGCCCGGGCAGCAGTGTAGGTGGAGAGGGCTCTGGCTAGGTGACCCTCCCACCCCGGGAGGCCACCGCGGCGCTTCACCTAGGCTCCCCAAGGCCTCGCAGCGCCGTGGGCAGTGCGACCGTGGGCTCCATCAGTCTCTCTCTCTCTCTCTCTCTCTCTCTCTCTCTCTCTCTCTCTCTCTCTCGGACAGATGGGAAAAGACTCTCCGATTACAGCATCGGGCCGAATTCCAAGCTCAACCTAGTGGTCAAACCTCTGGAGAAGGTGTTACTGGAAGAAAGCACCGCGCGGAAAACGGCCGAGGTCCCGGCCCCACCGCCCGCCGCCTGGCCGCTCATTTCCAGAGTCCTGGCCCGGCATTTCAGCGCCGCCGATGCCAGCAGAGTCCTGGATCAACTCCAGAGGGTGAGAATCGTGGCCCGGGACCTCTGCGTCCTGCTCACCTGCCTCTGTCCCAGCACCCCCCCCCCACCCAGTCGCACCCCTGAATCCTTCTGGCTTTCTCTCTTCAGGATTATGAGCGGTCCCTGAGCCGCCTGACGCTGGATGACATTGAACGCTTGGCTGGCCGCTTCCTGCACCCCGAAGCGACTGAAGCTATGGAGAAGGGGTTCTCCAAGTAGGATTCTCAGAGTGTGGGGAGGAGCCTGGCCGGGCCACAAGCTGCATGTAGCATTAAATGTCTTCTTGTATTGCAACTTGGCTCATAATACTGCCTGGCGGGTACCCGGGTACCTGTATCTGGCTCATGTTAGGTGCCAGGCCCCACTCAAAGCTCTTGACCCGGGTTGGCTCCCACATGTTGCACAAAAGGTGAGACAGCCAAGGCTCCTAGCGGGGAAGTTGAGGAGGCAGATTCTGAGTCCAGCCAGCTTCCAGAAGTGCTTCAGGGTGAGAGGGAGAAAGGGGTCGTTCAGACGGGTTCTGAGGACACGGGCGGCCGTGGACATTCCAGGTTTAGCCCACTGAGGAGAAACCCTCGAGCAATACCTTTTCCAGGCCTGGAAGGGGAAGCAGCTAGCCCCTGATGCCCAATCCTGTCACCTCATCCTTGGCAGGTCCAGCATTGGCAAGAGTTCAGGTGACAGCCAGCCTTGGGCCCCCTAAGCAGCTGCAACCAGTGTGCACTCAGAGGGAAGGCGGGCTGGGGAGTCTGGGATGTCACCCGGCTCTGGGGAGTGACCTTAGGCAAGTCTCTGTGCTGCGTTGGTCCCCAGCCATCAACTCTGCCTAGTGAGGGCTCCTCTTGAGACTCTCTCAGTTTCCTTTAGCTCCAAAGCCGGGGGTTAGGAGTCTGCAGGCATCCTACCCCTGTGTCCCAGATACAAACTGAGGCCAAATGCTGAGTGATGGCCAAGCGTGGCCCAGAGACAGAGTGTCCTGGCCCTTAGTGTCACAGTTTTTCTCTGGGCACCCCCTTCTGCTTGTCTCCTCCCAGACACAAGCGGTCCGTGACCTTTAGAGATGACAGGTGACGGTCTCGAGGTGACTTGAGCAGGCCCCTGTACCCTTTGCCCATCCTCTGCCACATGTGGACAGGGCCTCCCACTGTACAAACTACTCACTGTCTGAGAGGGAACCTGGGTGGGGGCAGAAACTGGGGGGTGGGCCGTAGAGATTGTCCAGGCACCTGCTACTCGGAGGAGGGCACCTGGGCCACCCTCCAGCCTGGGCCTCATGGGGTAAGTGCTGGGTCCCCAGATGGGGAGGATGGACAGTGGCTCGAGGGCCCAAGGCTTTGAAGAGCAGGTGGAAGTCCATGGTTCCACCCAGGAGCTGGGCATGCACTGCTGCAGGGCCCATGCAATAGACTTCCCTACGCTTTCATTTCTTTGCAGTCAGGAAATTTTATATTGACCTTTTCAGTCACACTAGAGGTGTATGTGAGACTTTGATCTGAAAGGAACTCTATTAGCTGAGCTGCTTTTGGTTTCCCCATCATTGATTTAACCATTACAGGACATTGGTTTAAGCAATAAAGGAAAGATATTGGTTTGCGAAACTGAGAAGTCCAGGGGTATTGGCAGCAGATAAACGATTTCCCCAAATACCCAGTTTCTTCCTACCTCCCCTCTGCACTCTGCAGTGTCTGCTTCATCCCAGGCCTCTACCTCAGGATCAGAAGATGGCTGCCTGCAGCTTCCACCGAACCCCTCGGTCACAGCCAGCACGGAGCACCTTCCCGTCCTCTAGCGTAGCTTCCTCCTCAGCTGCCCCAGCAAATAAATGCTGTCCCTTTTGGATGCTCAGAACCGAGTGCCTCCATCATTTTGTCGGGGGCTTGGGTGGGCTGTGGAAAGGAGAGGGCGACTCTCTCAGAAAGGGCGGGTCCTCGGGGAGGGCTGACGCGTACAGACAGGTCTTGTCGACAGACACAAGAGACAGGTGGTGAGTCTTGTGTGCCTTCCAACTGAGCGGTGTCGACCCCGTGGTGGCTAGGAGCCATCTTCTGGGTGCAGGAAGTCGTCGGGGACCTCAGGCTGCCCATGGAGACAGGAGTGGCATCTCCCAGGTGTATAGCAGATGCCTTGCTGACCGACGGGCCCGATTCCACAGCCCTGTGTGGCTTTCCACAACGTTCCAGAGGGCCTGTGGACACACTGTCCCAGACACTGCGAGGATGCATGAAATTACTTCCCAGGGAGCATGACCGAAGAAAGAGGGGAAAGGACTGAACCTGGGGGGACTTCACCAATTGGAGACATTGCAGAGGCTGAGGCGCCCCTGCAGACGCAAGGCCACAGGGAGAGCTTGGTGTCAGAGGCCAGGAAGGCCCCTCCAGCCAGGGTACGGAGTGTCTAGTGCTGCCAGGAAGCAAAAGCGAGGGCAGCCTCCTCTCAAGCTAACAAGAAGGTCATCGTTGATGTTTTAGGGCAAGAAGTCACTGCATGGTGGAGAGGGGGAAAGGTCTTGCCAGTGACTGGAGACCGCTGGTTCCAGAAACTTGTCTGGGCAGGAGTGTGTAGCTACAGGAGGTAGGGGGGAGACAGGGAAGAGGTGCTAGGATGAGAGATGGGAGGCCGGTGGGAAGGGGCCATGGAGGCTCCGGTCTAGGCCTTGTGCCATCATGAGAGGATAGAATGGCCACGGGCTGCACCCTGCCTTTGTCCTTAGGTTCTGGGGAGGGGGTGCCCCCATGTACCCTGCAGGCTTCAAATGCTGCAATATCCTTCCACAGGGGCCGGAATGTTTATGGCCAGCACTGTGCCCCTTGAGCCAAGTGTCTGCCCCAGAGGTGGGCACTGACCCCCCCGTTACCCCCCCATCCCCTGGCCTGAGACCACTCTCTCCTCCTCGTGGAGCGGCCTTGAAACAGCCCCACTAGGAGACAGCAGGGCGAGTCAAACGTCTAGCTGAAGTGGCCCCAGACAGCAACGGTCTGGCACCTGGAATAAGATGCCTGTGGTGCCACTTGCCATGGGCACACTGGCAGAGGGGCAGGCCCAGAGGAAAGCAGCGTTTCCTTTGGAGTGGGGCTCGCTGAGCTGGAAAACGCCCAGAAAATGATCAGCTGCTGCGCGCACAATTTGCTGGCGCCTTGCTTTCCATGCAGGCCTGGACAAAAGCCAGCCTCACCAGGTCCAGTAGGTCTGACAAGTGCTGCTCAGGACGGGTCAGGCCCTGCCAGCAGGAGGTGTGAAGGCCATGACAGCCTCTGTGCCCTGAGCCTTGGAAAGCCTGTAGGAGAGATACTCAGCCCTCTCCCCCTGTCTGCCTCCAGGGTCCAGCCAGAGCGGCCTCCCGGAGCTACTGGGGGCCTGCCCTGGGCCACCTCTTCTGCCTGCCTTCTTCAACTTTTCTTTTTTTTTTATTGTATTTAATTTTATTTTTTTCCTATCCAACTTTTTTCTTTTTTTTTTTCCTTCCAAACTTTTCCTTCCACTTCCCCTAGCTCTGAGCTTCCCTCTTGCTCAGTTGATAAAGGATCCGCCTGTATTGCAGGAGACCCCGGTTCAGTTCTTAGATCGGGAAGATCCGCTGGAGAAGGGACAGGCTACCCACTCCAGTATTCTTGGGCTTCCCTGGTGGGTCAGCTGGGAAAGAATCTGCCTGCAATAAGGGAGACCTGGGTTTGTATCCCTGGGCTGGGAAGATCGCCTGGAGAAGGGACCGGCTACCCACTCCAGTATTCTGGCCTGGAAGATTCCAGGGACTACAGTCCATGGGGTCACAGAGAGTCGGACACAACTGAGCGGCTTTCACTTTCACTTTTCACCTGTGCTGGCTCTCCCCCAACACACCCATCTCCTACTCTTGGGGGACCCTGAGGCTCCGTCCCCAGATCTCTTCTCTGGATCTCTCACTTCCTGGGGAACCTGTCTGCCTTCATTGCCATTTCTGTGCTTTGTGTCCATGTCTGCAGCTCACCCCAGACCCGTCTCTGAGCTTCAGGCCACAGCTCTGGGTTGTGACTCTGAAGCCGTGCCCAGCTTCCCTGCAGACACCTCCTGTCAACCCTTCAGTGCTTGTGATGTTGGTGGCACGGGGACTGGAAGACACAGTTCCTTCCTGCCTGGCACCCATGTGCCCAAGGTGAAAGGCAACACCACTGGGTCAGGCTTTTGACAACAGGAAGTGGGAGGCCACCTTTGCCTCTCCTAACTCTCCCTTGTCCATGGGCCATCAGGCAACAATGCTTTTGGAAGAGTCCAGGGCACTGGCCTCATAGCAAGTCCCAGGGTCTGGATTCACCTCCTTCCCTCCTGGTTAGATTCAGCTTAGGCTTTCTGAGGAGAGCAGCCACCCAGGGCAGGCTGTGTCCCTCCTCACACAGTATGAGGGAGGCCCAGTTTGATCACTCGGTCTCTCCCTTGTAAAGCTGCCTTCTCCCTTCCTAACACACAGGTCATCTGGGTGATATCTTGAGACCCAGGGACTCTCTTTTCCCCAACAACCTCCCTCTCATGGTCTTACCACCCAACGATGCTCCCTAGCTGTATCAGTTCAATTGGACGAATTGCACTGGTGGTTGCAAAATGGTGATTTTCTTGTGCTTTCTTGCTTTCTACAATTGCTAGTTGGCATTTCTCTACAAAGAGCTTTCCCTTTTCCCTGTTGTCTTTTCTTAGTTTTCACGGTGGACACTTTTTTTTTTTATTCAATAACTTAGAATCTAAGAGTGTCATTTTGGGGACAGTTTTTACTGGACTGTAGCATACATACAGTAATAGGCATAAGTCATCAATATACAGCTCAACAGAATTTTACAGTGAATACACCCATGTGTGCATCCCCTCCAGATTGAAATATACACATAATGTCTGCATATATATTACCTTCCCTGGTGCCTCCTCTCCAAAAAGTTTAATAACCTTTTGGGTGCTCAAATTGTTCTAGCTTTGGTTCTTTCCAGTTGGCTCCCATGTCTCTTTCATATACCCCATCCTTTTCCTTTTCAAGCATATCCTTCCTTTCTGACACTACAAGGTGCTCCAGGCTCCTCTTGTATTTTTTCCTGACCCATACCTAGAATCTTCCATTTCTCCAAGGAGCTCTGGTTCCTTTTAGTGGAGACTGGTGTTGAGAACCAAGTTCTGGGTACAGGGAACATTCTTTGCTACTGGAGTGTCATTGCTTCTAGACTCTCACTGGACAAAACTAGGCAATCTATTTTTCTAAGAATTCATACTGTGATCCCCAATTCCAGTCTGGTAGCACAGTTCTATCTCAGCTTCCCTCATTCCACATTGATGTTCCTAACAACAACAACAACAACAAAAACAGTATATGGATATGTTTACTCATCTCTTCTAGTGGATACAGTCTACCTTGCAGTATACCCAAAGTAGCTTCACAATCACCTCAGGACTGTCATTACCAACAACACGCATACTAAGAATAAAGCTGATTCTTTCTGTCCTTAGAATATATCCCATAAAGGGAGCACTGTCAGAGAGTGAGTTTGAAAGTTTCCTGACTTATTTTCTCTGTGTGGCTTTGTTACTAACTGGATATGCAGTTAGGCTCACTTACTTTTGTTTTTATTCCATTTTAGCATTTTTCCCCTCTTTCAAATGTGTTTTTGAACATATAAAATATGTTATGGTTCAAAGTCAAAACTACACAAAAAGATATTAATATATTATAAGATATCCTATACCCATCTCAACCCCGTATCAGTGAGAATTTTCACTAGTTTCAGGGTTCTCTGTCCTCTATTTTTTTCCCAATAAGCATGTGTATCTGTGAATGTGTGTGCACAGGTCGTTTGCACTCAGCTTTTTTTTTCCCCACATAACAATATATCTTGGAAATCATTTCATTTTTCCTTTTTTATTTCATTTTTCATTAGAGATTTTCATTGTTTTTCACTGCTGCTTAGGACTGTTGTATGAATGAACCACAAGTGATTTCACCAATTCCATCCTGATGGACATATGTGTTAAGTCCAGTTGTTTTTTCTTTTTTTGGGGGGGGTACCAAATTACTTTGTTTGAAGGAATGGTACTAAAGAAAGAACTTAGGTAGATGTTTTGTTACAACTTATAGAAAAGGTGAAGGTAACCCAAATATGCATGCACTGCCTTGGTGACCAGGAGTCACACCTGTGGCAGTGGGAAGCCAGCCTGAGGCTTAGCTCTCACTGTGTCCCAGGGTGTGCTTGTCAAAGAGGTACTCTGCCATGCCAGATCCAGGGGCCCCCACCTTGTGCAGGTTGGTTATGTGGTCACCCAGTTCTTTGATGGCTTCCACCTGCTCATTCAGGTAATGAGTCTCAATGAAATCACACAGATGGGGATCGTTTTTTTCAGTGGCCAGTTTGTGCAGTTCCAGTAGTGATTGATTCACACTTCTTTCCAAGCACAGCGCACATTCCATTGCATTCAGCCCATTCTCCCAGTCATCACGGTCTGGTTTCTTGATATCCTGAAGCAAGATTCAGCCGCCTCGCTGGTTCTGCAGCTTCATTAGTCTCTCAGCATGTTCCCTCTCCTCATGAGATTGGTGAAGAAAGTACTTGGCAAAGTTCTTCAAAGCCACATCATTGCGGTCAAAATAGTAGGACATGGACAGGTACACATAGGAGGCGTAGAGCTCCAGGTTGATCTGGCGGTTGATGGCGGCCTCCGAGTCCTGGTGGTAGTTCTGGTGCACCTGCGAGGGGGATGTGGTCGTCATGGCGGGCGGATGAGAAGGGGCGGTGGCGGCGACGGCGACGGCTGCGCTGCGCTGGAGCCGCGGCGGGGACCTTGGGCTGGCCGGAGGGTGTTGTCAAGTGGTGACGAGGGCTGGCTCTGAGTAGCCTGCCAGGGCTGGGGGGTGGGGGGGCGACGAGCAGCCGGGTTCCGATCAAGCACTGTTGAAGCAGGAAACCACGGCGACTCTCCGCGAAGACTGTCTGTTTTTTCTTTTTTAAAATTTTGGGCTGTGCTGTGTCTTTGTTGCTGCACGTGGGCTCTCTCTAGTTACAGTGCAAGGCTTTCACATTACCATGGCTTCTGTTGTTGTGGAGCATGGGTTCTAGGGTGCATGGGATTCAGTCGTTGTGGCACAGGGGCTCAGTAGTTGTGGAGCACCTGCTTAGTTGCCCCACAGCATGTGAAATCTTAGACCAGGGATCGAACCCATGTCCCTGCATTGGCAGGTAGATTCTTAACCGCTAGACCACCAGGGAAGTCCAATGGACGTGGACACCAAGTCCATGTCCAATAGTTTTCTATTACTATTTATATTACGCTAAGTAACAGAGGATAAGGTGGTTGAATGGCATCACCGACTCAATGGACATGAGTTTGAGTTGGTGATGGACAGGGAGGCCTGGCGTGCTGCAGTCCATGGGGTCTCAAAGAGTCAGACACAACTGAGCGACTGAATTGAACTGAACTGAAGTAATTTTGTGTATATATTGTTTCATATTTGTGAAGTAACTGGTACATGTGGCATTGCTAGGCCCAAGACACTGAGTTTTTGAGGGGATGAGAAGGAGGCGACAGAGGATGAGATGGTTGGATGGCATCACCGACTCAGGACATGAGTTTGAGCAAACCCTGGGAGATGGTGAAGGACAGGGAAGCCTGGTGTGCTGCAGTCCATGGGGTCGCAGAGTCAGACACGACTGAGCACACAGAATGCTGTTTCATTCAACAAGAAACAAACCACCTACTGCATAAACTACACAGAAAAGATATCAGAGACAATACAATGACAGTATAGAAGTGAACAAACTTATAATTTCAGATTATTAGAAATACAGCAAACTGAAATGGGCAAATGTGATGAAGAGTGCCTGGGGGTAGTATGTTAGATTGGTGATCCCAAAGGCCTCTTGGAGTTGACACCGGAGACTAGATCTTAATGACAAGAAGGAACCAGCCACGGGAATGTCTGGAGACAGTCTTCCAAAAAGGAAAATAAGTCCAAAGGGATGGGGGTAGGCCACCCTTAGTCAGGAGCAGAGAGAAGTCCCTAGAGGCTGCACAGAGCAGGGAAGCAAGCAGGTAGAGGAATCCTGAGCCTGGTCACACAGGCCTTTTATAAGCTACAGGAAGGAGTTTGTCTTTGGTTTCAAAGACAACAGGAAACTGTTTTAGTACTTTAAAAGGGACATGATATGATGTGATATATATTAAAAATTAAGAAAAAAATTAAGAACTGATTCTACTGTGGAAAACAGGATGTAGAGGAGCAAGCATAGTATAAAACTAGTCAGAAAGCTGTTAAAGGGGATCCCCTGGTGAAAAAAAAAAAAGTGAAAATAGTAGTCACTCCGTTGTGTCCCACTCCAGGCTCCTCTGTCCATGGAATTCTCCAGGCAAGAATACTGAAGTGGGTAGACATCTCCTTCTCCAAGGGATCTTCCCCACCCAGGGATCAAACCCAGGTCTCCTGCACTGCAGGCAGATTCTTTACCATCTTAACCACCAGGGAAGCCCCAGTGGTAGAGAATCCGCCTGCCAATGCAGGGGACTTGGAAGTGCTGATCCAGGAAGATCCCACATGCTTGGGAACCACTAAGCCAGGCACCACAACTACTGAGACTGTGCTCTAGAGCCCACACGCCCTAGAGCCTGAGCTCCGCCAACAAGAGAAGCCACTGCAATAAGCCCACTTGCTGCAACTAGAGAAAAGCCCTCACAGCAAGAAGACCCAGAGCAGTCAAAAACAAATAAAATTATATGTGAAAAAAGAAAGCTTTTCAAGGAGTTCAGGGAGATAGGGTGGCCACCGGTGGAGACTAGCAATGAAGGGGGAGAGGGTAGGCTGATTCAGGATGGATTTTGAGGGGTGATCCAACAGGCTTTGATAACCTACTTCACCTTTATGCCCTTCCTTATGATTACAAAGGAGGAAAACAGAAAACTAACAGGCCTATCACCATCAGAAATCTCATGTCACAAAAACTTATTTTTGATTAAAAATGCCGTATAAGGTTACTGTCAAAAACGTGAAGGAGAACAGAAAAGGGAAGCGAAAATCGAGTCATACAGTTTGCGAATGGCCCGAGCTGTGGGAAAGAAAGTGTTAGTCGCTCAGTCGTGCCCGACTCTGTGGTTTAGTCAGTAAGTCGTGTCCGACTCTTGCGACCCCACGAACTATGGCCCCCCAGGCTCCTCTGTCCATAGGATTCTCCAGGCAGGAATACTGGAGTGGGTTGCCATTTCCTCCTCCAGAGGATCTTCCTGACCCAGGGATCAAACCCGGATCTCTTGCATGGCAGGCAGATTCTTTACCCACTGAGCTACAAGGGAAGCCCCGAACTGTGGAAGGGAGACTCTTCTCTGCGGCCAACGGAGAACCCCCTCGGCCGGCCGGCTCCACCGAACCTGTTTGCGCAGGCGCGCGGGGCGGGGTCGACGCGCGGGGCGGGGTCGACGCTTCAGGAAGGAGCCGCAGTTTCTCAGCCGCCTGCGGAGAGGGCGGGCGACGCCGAGCCCCGGAGCCCGTGGGTGGAGTTGGAGGCGGAGCACGGCAGCCATGCAGGAGGCTGGCGGGGACGCAGGCGGAGGCAGCCGGGCGGGTGGCGCGGAAAGCCAGGGCCGGCGGGGTGTCGGAGGTTGCCGGGGTGGACTCCGCAGCACGGGTGCTACTTCCGCTGCAGACCACGGAGCTCCGGGTGTCGCGCCGGCCCAGCACTCTTTGGGGCCGGGTGGAGACCCGTGGTCCCCGGCCCAAAGGCCGGGAAGCCGACCATGCGTATTGTATCCTACTCGAGGGGCAGTGCGGATTGGGCTGGGGGCTGCCTGCAGTGGGAGGTGGGACAAACGGACCGGCGGGTCAGGGGCTGTTGGGGAGTGGAATGGCCGGGGTGCCTGGGGCGGGCAGAGAATAGAGAGTTGAAGGGAGACTGGAGGCAGGGATGGGCTGGGGTGGCTTGGGTCGAGGGGAGAAATGGGATCACGAGGCAACGGGGTGGCTGGGCTGGGTTAGGGCTACGAGTGGCCCGGAGAGGCTGGAAGCGGTTCTGAGACAAGGCCCAGAGCTCCAAATCCTTGTGGGTGGTACCTTAACCGAGTCTCCATCAGCACCCTAAACGTGCCTTTCCCGTCCGCCTTGGAGGCAGAGATTGCCTGTGGGTCCCTGGCCCCAGATGCCGAACCTCACCGTGGGGCGGTTGGGAAGGAGCTCACAGTGAGCGGCAGTGTCCTAGCGGTGTAAGTTGGAAAAGGGGCTGGTTGGAAGTGGTAGAAAGTGACCAAGCTCGCCGGGGGTGCTCTATTTGGACACACTCAAGGGCTGCGTTTATGGAGGTGACGCAGTGCGCTGGGCCCATCTCCACCTTGATTTTCTTTTTCTGTCACTTTCAGCTGCTGGAGAGCTGAAGATTGCCGCCTCCTTCGAATCTCCATTGTCAACTTTCTGGACCAGCTTTCTCTGGTGATGCGAACCATGCAGCGCTTTGGGCCCCCTGTTGCCCGCTAAGCCAGGGCTAGGGAAAGGGGGGTTAAGGTCTGACCTGGTGGCCCTTCCTAGACAGTGTGCATCCTTACTAAGGCAGTGATTCCTGCATTAGTTGCCGAGTTATTATGGGGACCTCATCTTTTGCCTGTAGTGGCCCTTGGGTGCTCAAGGTCCACTTGCATTGTTTGGTGCTTAAATGTTTCTTAACTACTGAAAATAAAATTGACGTATGATGAGTTTATTTTCAACTATAGCACCCTCAAAATTCTTGCCTTTGTCCTTAGATTGGAGGGTTCTGTGATTCAGATAGTCAAGTAGTACAGTGTAAGTGAAGATAATCTAAGAAATGGAGAAGAATAGGTCCTGTCTCATTCAGTTATTAGCTACTGTCAATATTTTGGAGCATTTTCTGAGTTTTATAGTTACATAGTAAACGTGTAACAATAATATTTCATATTGTGCAAGTTTAGCATTTTTCCTGGTATTTCTCATCTAACATGAACTTTTTTCTAAGAACTCTTCAAAATCATTATTGAACATTTAAACTATTTTCAGTCTTTGCCGTATTATAGGTAATGATTCAGTGGAATGCTTGTATATAGATCTTTGCATGAATGATTAAGATTACAAGAAGTAGAATTAGTTAAATATTTAAAGCTCTCAATCTGAAGTATGTGAAATTATTCTCTATAAAATACCCTCCCACCAGAATTCTGGTTTCCCCCACATTAGTGTCACCATTAGGGGCTTCCCAGGTGGTGTAGTAGTAAAGAATCCACCTGCCATTGTGGGAGGTGCAAGAGATGAGGGTTTGATCCCTGGTCCAGAAGATACCCTGGAGGAGGAAATGGCAACCCACTCCATTATTCTTGCCTGGGGAATCCCATGGACAGAAGAGCCTGGTGGGAGTCCATGGAGTCGAAAAGACTCACACACAGTTGAGGGACTCAGCACAGCACAGCACTGCACAGGGGCACAATGACTGCAATGCACTCGGGACAGGAAAGAGTTGGCAGACATAAAGGTGTTTGGTGGCCATGAAGCTCTGGACCATTTTGAACAGAATGGGGACAAGGGCCACCATGTTTATTAACAGGGTCCCGGTGCCTCCCATGGTGAGAAGAGGCTGAGGGCAGCCAGGGCAGAAATGGGGAGACTGGCATCCAGGCAAGAGACAAGGGCAGCTTGGACCGCTCAAGGGCAGTGGAGGTGGGGAGAAGGGAGCGGCTTCTGAACATGTCTTAATGGTGGAGCCACCCGGCCTCGTTGATGGATTGGACATGGCCGCCCTGGACCACCTCAGATCCTCAGGAACCCCACAAGGAGTCACCTTTCCTCCCGTAGATGGCATCCAACTCAAGCAGAGTCTGACAGTTTCCCCACCTGCTTCCACCTGCCCCGAGAACAAAGCCACATGCCAACTCCGTTTCCCAACATTTAATTAGGAAAAAAAATGACAGGGTCAAAGAAAATCTCATGCAGAAAAGAAAAAGGGGGCAAATCAGGTTTGTAGGAGCATGGACCAGGGCCGGGTTCCTCCAAGGAGGCAGAAGAACAAAGGAGTAAGGCACTGCCACCTCTGCGCAGGGCAGGGCAGCGGAGGGTGAGTGGTCCAGGGGGCGTGCAGACCCCACAGATGGAGTTTGGCAGCAGGGCCCAGAGGAGCAGAGTCTGGTGCCCCCAGGCCCAGGCCCAGGCCCAGGCCCAGCCCGAGAAGTCTGGATGGGCTTCTGTGTCAGCTGCAGGGGTACCCCTTCTGCAGAGTCGTAGTCTGAGGGCACCTTTGGTGCCTTGCCCACCCCAAGTGCTGCTGGTGTCCAGGCCCTCTTCTGGAGATGGGCGGGGGCAGCCAGGGGAAGGGGCAGGGCCAGAGGTGAGGCCAAGGCTGACCCTGTCTCAAGGGGAGCTGGGAGGATGGAGAGGAGGTGAGTGAGGTTGGGACATCTGGGGCAGGGGGGGCGGGTAAGGGGGAACGCTTATTTACAGATGGAGAGGTGAGTGGAGATAAATTAAATAAATAGGTGGGTGGGGCATAAATAGCAAGGGATGATCACCAGACTGGGCAGGAGGGCAGGGGGAGGGTGGGGGTATTGCTGCTGCTGTGGTGGGGGGCTTGGTCCGGTTGCCCCCTCCCCATGCAGGGCCCAAAGCAAGGCACTAATGAAGGGCCCCAGGCTGTGCTGGGGGTGTCTCGGCCCGGTGCCACCTGATCCGAGGCTCAGCCCGGGACCCAGGCCTGAGACGCCCCCTGGACGGGAGACTGTCTCAGGACTGAGATGCACCCTTCTCTCTGGGTCGGCCGCCCTTAGCTGTTGTTGGACACGAGGCCAATGATCTGCTCCAGCTTCTGGCGCAGCTTGTGTTTCCGACAAGAGGCATCTCGGTCCAGGGCGCTGAGAACCTGTGAAGCAGGCCCCGAGCTGGGCTCTCAGGGGTGGCGGGCCGTTCCTCCCAGCCAAGCCCCCTGCTCTTCAGGGCAAGCTTTCCCCTCCCTCAGGCCTCAGGGTGTCCTTCCCTGCTGGCCAGGACCCTGGACACGTGGCCTTCGAACAGCCCCTCTTTGACCCCAAATCCTCCTCCAACCGCACAACTCTCGTCCCTCCTCTCCATGGCCAGCATGCAGCCCTGTCCAGGGGTGATGTGGACTCGAGGCTTCTCTTTCCCGTCCCCTGCAGACCCCCAATCCCACCCTAGACCTCTCCCATCCAAAGCAGCAGGCCTTCTCGGGCCTCATCTCCATTGACCATGGGCAGCACCCGATAGCCCATTACTCCTCCTGACAACTGGTGGGGGGGGTCCTCACGCATGTGATCCAGGCCCGTGTGGCACTTGGTGGGGAGTGTCCCTCCCGACCCTCCTCAGACTCCACAGCCAGCTCCCCTTCTGCTCTGCCATGTCAGAGTGTCCCAGGACCCCAGGGCTCAGTGCCTGGGCCATGGATCCATCTAGCTGCCCGGGGAACCCCTTGGTGAGCTCCTCCAGGCTCAGGGCTCTCAGGCCTGTGTCCAGCTGAGGTTCACCGGTTCTCATCTTCAACCAGGAGCCCAGTCCTGAAGCCCACCCTCTGGCTTTCCTGTCTACTGAGGCTCCAGGCACAAATCAGGCAGGTGGCCTGACCCTGCCCACCTCTGGCCCCCACTGCGTTCCTGGCCCTTTACTTTCTCCCAACCAGAACTTGGTGCTTCAGCCAGTAGCTTCTCTCCTGGGGCCCTCACCTCCCCACATCTACAGAGAGTGTCACGTTTGCCATCCTGAAGGCTTGTTTGTGGGAGGAATTGTGAGTAATCCAAGAGCTGGTACCCCTGACTCCTATCACACCCCTGCTTTTGCAACTGGCTGCACTCTCAAACTTGAGGGGCCTGCGGGGGTGGCACGCACCTCCTGACGGTACTTGGTGACGTAGAAATAGAGCTCACTGAGTGCACTCAGGACATTGAAGTCACTTGCATGGAGACGGGACTGCTCCACCAGATACGCATCCATGTCCTGGTCACTGATGGATGCCATCTTGGCTATGTCCCGGTAGTACCTAATGGGATCCCGAAGAAGTCATGCTGGCATCTGCTGCAAAAGTCAAAGCCCTTGTCCTGGCTGCCAGGCCAGCCTCTGGGACTCCTTCCTGAAGGTGGCCCTTCATTAATATGAGCCAGCCTGGGCAGGGCTAGCTTCTACCCTCTCACCCAGTAGCTATGTCCTGTGGGTGTCCAGGCCCCCCACCCACACACACTGGGGCCCACCTCTCCACCCAGCTCTTGTAGTTGGGGATGTCCTTGGCATAGAGCAACTTGTTGGAGGGCGAGTCCTTGCCCAGGCGGTGCTCCGACGTGGAGCAGGAGTCCATGAAGGTCTGGGCCACCACCGACAAGCAGGCATCTGTGATGCTGCTCTTGTGGATGTCGAACACGAACTGCGGGTTCTTGATCACGTTCACCCAGAAGCGCAGGGGCAGGCTAGACAGAGGGACAAAGGCCCACAGCTCCCCAGTTTCCCCGTGCCACACCCTCCTATCTGCTCACCTCCACAGGCCCACAGGCGGCAAGATGACACACTGAGAGTTAGTGGCCTTTTCTTTAATTTTCGGCCTGACTTCAAGCAGTGAGAAGTAAGAGGGAATGGCATTCTGGCCTTGGTGATCTCAATGTTCCCCACACACACATTCACCCCCTGGGCCAGGCTTCCAGCATCTCTGCACTGTGCCAGTGGTATCACCAGGTGAGCAGCCAGGCCCAGTCAGTCAAGGGCACCTCTGAGTGCGGGCAGCACTATCTGCATCCCAGCTGCCCAAACCCCTGGCAGAGTGACAGACCCTTGCTCTCCCTACTTGGTGGCACCATCGATGCCAGGCCACTGTCCTCCCCTGCTGGGATGAGCAGCCCAGCCCCCAGCCCCCACTGTCACCCTGACCAAGGTCCCCAAGTACCAGCCAAGCCTCCTCTTCCCACCCAGCCCTGGCCTGGAGGGCCAGCGCACAGTGGTACCAGTTGCTCTTCCAGGTGTGGCGCACGTCGGGATCACTGATCTGCCGCTGGTCAGCCTGCTCGTCCAGGAAGTCAAACATGTACTTAATGGCCAGTGGCAGGGCTGAGCCCCGGTGTGCTGTGCTGAACACAGTTTCAAAGAGATCGTCCACGAACTTCTGCAGTGTACCCTGCAGGGGCACAGCAAGGGCAGCAGCTGACAGGGAGCCATGGGGAAATGATCCCACAGCAGGACAGATGGGGATGGAGAGGCCTGACAGCAAGTAGGGCTTCTCTGCCCGGCTAACAACACCCCTCAGATAGACTTGGCCTTGACCTCAGGGTGGTAGTTCCCATAGCCAAGGCCTTAAGACAGTCCCTTGGCATTGGAACAATCCAGTGGCCCCTTCCCCAGGCAGCCGGGGCCAGCCTGAGTGCCAAGTCCAGGACAGAAGGGACCCGCACTAAGGCCAGGATGGCACAGGGCAGGCGCACCTTGGTGGCCAGCAGCCGCGTCAGGTAGATCTCTGAGACCATCTTGCTGCCACGGTCACCCTCTCGGTG